TTTGTAATGTAATTATGGTACGTCTGTGGACCATCTGGCTCTCGATAGCCATTACCATTCGATTTCCCAAATTTGATTGTCTTTGTAGTTAATTGAAAAAAGGAAGGACTCATAGTGTGTCGTTTTCTTGGGTTATTTTTTTTAGGAGTGTGACAAGTGTAAAAGGTAAGCAAACAGCATGCATGATGTTATTAATAATGAAAAGGGGCCCCCTGAAAACGTTTGGCTCCCATCTTCCTCCGAAATCCTGAAACTCTTGGGCTTCCAAAAAGCCAACTCTCGGATTATTAAAACTTGTTGTGCACCTTCCTGTAAGGCCACTAATAGAACTAATCTTCCTGCCAGTGGTTAAAATGGGACTTAAAACCAGGACCTCTAGCAAGTCGAAAGGATCAGAACCAGGATTCTAGTAAGCTCCCCACCAACCCCTCCCCTAAACCAACTTTAACAACAACTTCTCACCTAAAGTTTTTCCGGTATGGTGGGAGTGGGTGAGAAGCTTCCCAGAATTGTATATTCCGGTCCAAATATCCTTCTTTTTTGTTGTCTGAACAGACGGCAAAAGAATAGAGCATTTTGTTACTTCTGTGCATCACTTCAGAAACTACCTATCTGTGGCAACTGTGGTAAGTTTGTCTCTACATGTACTGTTTGAAAATTAACTGTTTAAGGCCTGATATCCACATACAAATTCTCCAGATAATTTCCATACATTTCTTTATTTTCAGTTGGAAAATTTGTTACAAGATCAAAGTATTTTCTTTTAAATGATCATTTTAGCAGTTCTCCAAACCTTTCCTCCTGATTATGTATTGATATTGTTTGGAGAAAATTGATATTGATCACTCTTGGGTTATGTGTAACACATTACTTGATTGAAAATTAGCATGTATTTCATATAGCAGATCATTAACAATTATTCCTCAAGCCCGAAAGGGCTCTGAGTCAATAGCCCATGAGGCCGAAGGCCGAATGGACTATTGACTCAGAGGCCATGAGGGCAAGAGGAATAATTTTTTTAGTAAAATCCAACTAATTGGTCAAAAATATTGAGACACAACAACTTTAGCTAGAAAATGTGATTCAGCCGCCATTGTTTTGGTTTTCAAAGCCGGCGCTTTTCGCTACTAGTGGGCTATAACTTATAGCCAGTAGTAGCTCAACCAATCAGAACACAGCATTGATAATAGACCACTAGTTGGACTCTACTAAAATATATTAGTTATGATCTATAATCTCCTTATTTTGAGGCTTGTGAGTCATGATTCCATAGGAAAGCCAGGATTTTAGTCATTTTCAGGCTCTGTTTTTCTATGAGTGGATGCACCCCTACAGCTGATTTCATTGCCATGTATACACCCGGATTTTCAGACATGATTCGATGGTCATGATTCGACATGTCATGATTCGACACTAATCACGTGATGTATAGCTTTGAAATACGTAAATGGTTGCAAAAATAAAGGCAGGCGAGAGTTCTGCCATGGGGTCCGAAGCAGAGAGAGAATCATCTGGCTGGCAAGGAAAGCTTAACACCAAAAGACATAAGTGTAACGAAGCTAGAATGCTGACAAATGCGTTTTACCTGAAGAGGAAAGCTTTATTGCGTGGAAAGCGGCGACATGATACAGCATGATGCAAACGTGTGATAAAACCTGGAGTTCAATTGCCGAGTTACAATGTATTTCTGTAGCAGTAGGTGATTTCTTAATGGACGAAATATTATCAATACGGTGAAAAGCGAAATAGTCCGATGTTTTATTGTCTAGTCTTCTTCCATATGACAAGGTTTCGGTATTTTAACGTTGGTGAATGCCCACAATTTATATGTTTTAAACCGGTTTTGAACAGTGATGTAAATTTAGTTAAAGGAAGGCAAATTTGTCTTTCCTGAAGTTGGTACTTTCTTAGTCGTCCTTACGTAACTTAATTCTGCATTACATTAAAACATTACCGGAAGATTTGACGTTTTGCAGAAGAAATCAACAGATATATTGATCAATCTGCCGTTGTGAAAGAATTTGCTGAAGAGTTTGAAAGTTTTGTTTTGTCGACCCTTGATAAATACCTGTATCACAATGTTCAGGCTTCGACCTATGACCCTAGTGGGCTCAAATTTTACAAAGCAGATAAAGACAACCTAACATAAAAGACAGCAACATTTGTTTTTATTGAAAAAGGGCAAAATATAATATTTCTTTAAAGATCAAGGTAGAAGGCTAATAAAAAGGTTAAGAAAAGAGCCGAAAAACTTATAGAGCGAGACGACACACGAGATAACATGTATTGCGATTTACAAATTGCGTGACTGGTGTGAGACTGTTGTCTGAAATGTACAACAAATTATGGATCACGGTCCTCTTTTTCTGAATTACAGGAGAAACATTCAAGCTATCATCAAAGTAATCTTCTGATTGTGTACTTTGTTTCCGGTAGGATATTCGAGGTAAAATACCGTACTGCTTGGTAACCTCTCGGTCGAATCATGACGGTCGAATCATGTCTGAAAATCCAGGTGTACACACAGCACTGAAATCAGCTGTAATTACATTAAAAAAAATTAATGCTGCTCACTTTTATCATCTATTAAAGAGATATATTTGAAATGCTGTATTTTCAGGAAAGACAAAATGCATGGCCAAAACTGGAGACTGTGTTGTAAAACATGGAGCAAATTTCACCACTGGTATGGCAATGGTGGTAAGTACGTTCATGCTTCAACAGTGAAACCTCGCAGTAGTGGATCGAGGGAAGGGGTCCAGGGAAACCTAGGCCATCACCATATTTCTGGGCCAAACTAAAGACTCAGGGCAGAGAAAAATTTCAAGGCTTTGCCTGTCCCTCTTTTTAGAGTCTGGCAGAGGGGGCCCCTACTTACTTAAAGGTCCTATTTACAAACCGGAGTGCACCTGAGGAGTAGACTTAAACGGTGCGTTTCTTTACTAAAATCCAAGATCACGTCAAAAAAACTGGATCATTAGGGTTTCTCGTCAAGAAAAGAAACAATTTAGCCTAAAAAGGACTATTTTTCAGTCATTTCACTCAGAAACGACCTACAATATTGACGGTATCCTTCAGAAAGAATAACATGGCTGTTAATAATGTTGCAAATTTGCTGATTTTTCATTGTATTCTGGACGGTTAGCTCAAGGATACGGCTTGAAGATGAGTCTTGAAATAAGATATCTACTGGAAAAGTAAAATGTTGCAAGATGTGCTGGCGAAGTTGTGTAGCAGTTTTGTCTCGATTTTTCCTCATCTAGAACAATGCAGCTACACACCATTTCTTCCCTTTTTTCTCTTCTTTTCTTTATTTTTTTAAAAAATTTAATCCAAATTTTCATTCAGTACCCTTAACTTGCATGGTTTACCCAGCCTATAGTTCCAGGAAGCCTATAGTTTATAAGCCCTCAGCTTCTATATAGGCTTTCTTGCCATTACCACTTTAAACATTTCATTTTGTAAATAATTTAATTAGAATATTACAGTATATTGTCTTTAAGGTATTATAAATTTCTGTAGACTTTTTGTATTTCTGGTTTAAATGGCAAAAATAAATGAATGAATGAATGAATGAATTGTCTTGTGAAGGTGCTAAATAATAGTTTTACAGTCTAGTAAACCATTGGTTTGTGGTCATTTTGATGATTTAGTTATTTTAGTGCATTTTAAAATGCGAGACTGTGTTACCACTAAGTAAATTTGCCACTGATTTTAATTCTGACTTATGTAAATGAAGATCCATGAGATTGTCATTAAAGTTTCCTATTCTGTTATTAAAGTGTACATATCAGAAAGCTATTACAACACAATTTATGTTAGTGTTAAGTTTCATAAACATGTACCTTCTCTTTGTTTTTAGGGAGCTATTTGTGATTTTTGTGAAGCATTTATCTGTCATAGCAAAAAGTGCCTGACAACACATGCATGTGAATGTGCTCTCAGAGATGGCGACTGCATTGAATGTGAACGAGGAGTCTGGGATCATGGTATATTGTATTTTAATGTGTTTAAATGAGATTAAGGCTAAGTTAAACTTGAGACAGTGCTGGCCAGTAGTCTTTCAAGCAATGTTATTGGGGGTGCTCTAAAAGCTTCAAAGTCAGGCTGATGGGTCTTTATAGCTTCTCTTTTTAGGTCAGGCCATTAAATTAAAATGAGAGATTATATGGCCAGGTCGGTTACCCCACCTAAGCGGGTTACCTCACCCTCCTGGGGTCCCCCACCTCCATGCAAACAGGCCCTTTGTTCGGGAACAATTTTAGTTCAGAGCACCAGTGTGAGCCCTGTTCTTGCCAGGTTTGCCAGCTTGTGCTGGCAGTTTTGCCGCCAAACATTTTGCCGAACTTGTGATAGTTAGTGAGCCATTTCACAGGCTATCAGGGGTGCTGTATGGTATGGACACAATTTAGGCCGCAGATCCAAGTTTCATCTTTATGGAGATGAAACATGGGGAACAAGGGTGTTGCAGTGGTGAGAGCACGCGCCTCCCACCAATGTGGCCCGGGTTTGAATCCTGGCGTTGATGCCATATGTGGGTTGAGTTAGTTGTTGGTTCTCTCCCTCTAAACTCTAGTTTTCCCCTCTCCTCCAAAAGCAACACTTCCAAATTCCAATTCAATCTGAAACGCATGGACACATTTCAACGAGTTCTCATGAACTCCTAGGTGCTCCGTAGGTAAAAAAAATAACAATTCCAGTTACAGAGATATTTATGGAACTGGCACCGAAAGGACTGCCCATAACAGAGAGATCTGTCTTAGGGGTGTACGTCCTTAGAGAGGCGTGAAAATAACAAATAACAATGAGATTTGGAAATAATGAAAAATTAATATTTATTTGTTCACAGGTGGGCGCCTCTTCATTTGTTCATATTGCGAATCTTTCTTGTGCGAAGATGATCAGTTTGAACATCAAGCTAAGTGCCAAGTACTGGAGTCTGAAACTTTAAAGTGTAAGTTTCTTTTTTAGGAGATTGCAAGGTTGCTTTTCACTTGACCACTTTGTGCCCAGTTTCAATTACTGGAAACTCTTTCCCACCTTAACCATTTTGTCACTTTAGGTCTCTCAGAATTACCACTGCCTGGTTCTTAGGCTATCCCCTTTTTCTTTTCGTTAAGCGTTGAATGCAATTCCTGATATTGGGTCGGTCGGTTGGATTGAAAAAAAAAAACCTTAAAAAAAAATCACAAGAAGTCTCGGAATAGGAGGCCCGGGTACCCTGGAACGACGTTAAAAGTTGACTTTCACATAATTGGATTAATAAATTTACAATTTGCTGTAAAAAATGTTCCCATTTTTCTCTATGCTGTTACAATGATCATTTTTCAGATGGATTAAAAGAATTATTCCTAGTGAAAAATGGTTTAACTATGTCATTACTTTTTTTTTTTTTTGAAAATGCCAAAAATTTGGGTCGGTCAGATGATGCTAAACAGAGAAAAAAAAGAGGATGGCCTTCGCTTAATGGGATAAGTGCCAGTCTGTTGAGTGGGAGGCCATGAGTTCAAACCCCAGCTGGACCAGCGCTCAGGGTCTTTAAATAGCTTGCGGAAAGTCAGTGCTGCCTTGTAATCATGTCAGCAAAATTTGGTTAGACTTTCTTCTCTTCTCAGATAGGGATGATCAATATGTGGGCCCCTTCTCACATATAAAAATTCTATTTAGCAATTAATGAATGAGGCTGAGTAGGATATGAAGAATTAAGCAGATCAAGGAGGGTGTCTCGGCCTCGCTGGATAACACCCTCCGATATCTGTTTAATTCTTCATATCCTACAAAAGCCGAATTCATTAATTGCTTTATTATTCATTCAAAATAATTCCTAGCTTAAAAACATAACTAAAACATGCTTTCCTGCATCAATGTTAAGTTCACCCTTGATAGTGTACGTTTAGGTTTGTCCAGCTCCGCAAATATTCTCCAAATAGCAGATGTCACCCTCTGAGTTGTCTTCTTGCTGTGTTTGCCATGTTTTTAGCTATTATTTCACCTAGTTCCAGCTGTATGTAGTTCTTACAATTGAAACGAGTGAAATGTCCGCCATTTTTTTTTCATGACCAAAACAACTCAACCTCGTCTCCAGGACTTCTCGGTAACGGTGCCTTAAACTGTAGCGGGCTGCATTTTTGACGTCATTTCCTCGTTAAACACAAAATTCTTCCAAATTTGCTCATCAGTAACTGGTTATGGTGAATTATGCATGTGCTTTTAGCCAATCAGAATTGGGGAGATATTTTGAATGAATAATAAGAGATGTTAAAGAACCCACAAACTGTCGGGAAGGATTCAGGGAACCATTGTTGGCCGGTTTTACCCTCCCATGATTGATTTTCAATTTTTGCCTGGGACTAGTTAGGCAAAATCAGGTTACAAGGCTAAAAATATGCCTTGAAATTAGTAAACATGCATAGTGTGATTTGTTGAAAGCTAACGAAATAAAGCTCCGAAAAGTCGCCAAATTTTACAGGCGTTTATGTAGTGGTGGTTTTGGTGGTGGGAGCAGTTTCATTAGTGTGACCCACCATACATGTAGAAACGTCTGTAAAACTTTTTGACTTTGTGTAAAGATATCTTAGCTCAATTATTTTAATGTGTCACCTTTAAACTTGGTACGTTTCCAGCAGTGTCAAAGGATATTCACTACCTATCTTTTTGAAACGTTTATGAGCAAATGAGTGTTATTCAGTGTTAGGTGCTTAAACTAGAGAAGCTCAGGATGAAGGCCACTTTGGTCGATATACCTAGAATTAAGTTTACTCTAGCTTTGGTACCATCTGCAGAGATTAAATAGAGGTTGGTGGTGCAGGTTATTGGATTGTCTGCAATCATAGCTCTTTTTTCCTGAAGTACCCTTTGAGATTTTTTAGGTCTTACTGGTTTTTCTATGTTCTTTTTTCTTTAGGTGGTTCCTGTAACAAATTAGGCCAATATTCATGTCTCAAATGCAAGGTAAGCATTGCTTGCAAGTTGCAGTAATAACTAAAACTTTACTAGCAATGCATGAGAAAGGAAATGGAATCCCTTATGAACGATGAGTGCATTCAAGAAGATACAGGTAAATTCGACACTTAAGTTGAAAGGTATGCCTAGGCTCTTCAAATTTAGTAAATTTAACTATCCTTAGCAAATAAGTACGCGGTGCAAAGTATCAAATTTTGTTCTCTTTGTAAAATTATTATTACGTCTAGTTTTCCTTATTTTTCTTTCTTGTCCACTTCACCTTCCGTCCTGATAAGCTTAAGCTAACTGCGGGTCGTGCGAAATATGTCCTTTTCTCTTTTCAGTTTACTTTAATTTATTACTTTGCAATAAAGTTGTTGTTGTTGTTGATATGATGACTGATCAGTAGGGTGCGAACAAGCTCTCCATTTGGGGAATATCGTGAAAAGTCGCGCGTTCCCTAGTCTGCTACACAGCCGTTTTTAGTGTCGTCACGCAACGCTTGCGTACGCGTTCCCGCACGGCTCGCTACTAGCTGCTAAGTTACTGACCCTCCAAATAGTACAGTTATCCCAAACTTGCTATACGAGTGCCTGCTAAGTTTTTAATACATCTAGTAGTATTGCTAACGTAGGGATTTGTAGGTTTCATATCGAAAACGTTGCGGTTCCTTTGTCGTTTTGAAGCGAGCCAGGCGTTTTGACTGCTAAGTAATTTCGGTTTTTTTTCTTGTTTTTCTTTTGTGCTTATATGACTTTATCAAGTCCAAGATTTAACTCAGCGTTCTCATTCTCCAAGACCTCTTTTACGTGATTGTTAACAGTTCAAGTAATTATATTTTGCATTATTTTAGGCGTGTTACTGTGAAGACCACGTTAGAAGAAAAGGTGTAAAGTACACTAGAGGGCAGCCGATTCCCTGCCCAAAATGTGGGTACGAAACCAAGGAAACTAAAGAGCTCAGCATGTCGAGTAAGTTAGCAATGTTTCCTCACTTCTTTTGTAGTTAGAACAGTTAAAGTGGTCAAATTTGACCTTCGGAAACTTATATGACATTGATTACCTTAGCCAGTCAGAATGCACGGAGATAATGTAATAAACCAATCAGAACCCGAAGCACCTTTGTGTAGCAGGCGTCTTTGCCCCAGGCGCGGGAAATTTATGCAAATAGGAACTTTATTTTGTGATTGTTTGAAAGGACGGCGCCAAAGTGTGTTGCCATTTGCGTTTTCTGACAGGACAAAACCCAACTGATTTTGAAATGACTTTTGATACTCAATTAGCTACTCAATATTAGTTGGAAAACTTAAATCTTGGCCGCTCTAACTTTGTTTTTCTCGTCCTATTTTAGCTCGTAACTACGCCTATTCTCGCCATCGGAATGAAGTTGGTGATGATTACGATGACGACTATGATGTGTCGGGAGGTTTTAGTTACGGGACGGGTGGGTTCAGTTACGGGTCTGGTGGGTCTGGTTACGGGTCTAGCGCGTTCGCTTATGGAACAACTAGTTACGCAGACGATGCGGAAGAGGACGAAAGTGAAAGCGAAGAAGACGATGAAGATGAGAATGAGGATAACGACGAAAATGGTGACAGTGGCCAAGAAGAAGAAGAGAGGAACGAACTAAGCTCGGTCAGTGAGGAGATATCTCAGCTATCAGTCGTGGGGTCGTGAACTGAAAACGGTCTTTGAGTTCCACACTTTTCTTAACCGTTTAAGTCCCAATATCCACCTACAAATTCTCTAAACTGATCTCCATACATTTCCTTTAAGAATTACTTGAGAGAATTGGATAAAAGATCATGTCATTTTCCCTTTGGTGATCATTTTATTAATTCTCATAACTTTATCTTCTGACAGTGTATGGATATTATTAGGAGAAAATTGTTGTTGGTCACTATTGGCACTTAAAGGGTTAATCTAATTTCCTAGTCAGGAACCAAAAAACAAACTAAAAAGTGCATTAAGAATTGTAACAAATGAAAAATTTCCAGGACTAAAGAGTGAATTAGGTTCTAATTTTGTACAACTAAACTAACTTCTTATAAGACTATGCAAGTAACCGCTTCATCTTACGCCAAACGTGCAACTAATCCCTTGTTCAGAGCAGACCACTTTGAATTTCTTTCTGCGATCCAAAACGCACAACCAGATTTATACGTTCCCGCGAGAGTAAGAAGAATTGAGCTGTGATCAGTTCTCGCGCAAATGGCTGCACCCCGACGGCCATTGTATATTTCTTGAACGTTCACAGAAACTAATCTCGCGATCAAGATCGCGTTAAAAACGTATTAACTAGATCTTTTTCAATCAAGCTCCAACAGATATCATTTGAGGTTTAAGCTTTAAACAATAAAACAATAAAAACAGTAAATAACGTTACTTAGCTTTTTTGAGCTTTCCCAATCTCTCTTGTTTGAATTTTCGCGTAAAACCAATTGTGACTAATCTTCTCGCACCAGTTTACCCGCGCATAATGAAGCCCATAATGCATTTCACGAGTCCAAAATATCATTCGTAACCTTTGCTAACGGCTACTTGTCAACAACGGTCATCTCTGTGTTTCGACCTCTTTTTTTGTGCTAGGTGGACAGTCCAAATGTTCAGTCTTGTGTTTTCGTTTCTACAAAGGCCTCTTTTTCACTACGGAAACGTCCAATATGGAGAGTTCAGTATCTCTGCGAATGTTTGAGAACAAAAGTAAGCGTTTACTTAATTTAACTCCCACAGGACTTTGGTTTGCAACACCAACATGACCGCTGTTTCATTGTCTTTGGCGCACCAATATGGCGGCCATGACGTCATTTGAAAACGCTTTATAGTGCGGCAAATACAAAATGAGGTTTTGTGTTTCCGCGAGACAAAGCAACTCCCACAAACCCTTTTGGTAGGTACATATATGAAGTACCTACCACCCTTTTCTATAGGAATCATATATGAAGTACCTACCCCTCTTTTCACTAAAACCGCTGGACACAAAACCTTCCTGGGTCGACCTCACATTGTCACAACCCCATAGTGGGTGCATTCAAAAGCGCACGACGAACCCCTCTCCACTTGCTATCTGGATTTTTTCCAACGGGTTATCCTATGAGTATTGGTCAAAGTTGGATATATCTTTCAGTTTTGTGTATTGCTTAAATGAGGTTTACGACGTCCGACAGTGTTGTTGGAGTTATCCTAAGGGATTAGCTAATGATTTTGACTAAAGATCTGAGCTTTACTTAGGTTTTGTTTCTGTTTGGCCACAATTGGCCAAGAAACTTCTTCTATGATTGTGAATAATAAAAACAGAGTAAGTGATATTATCCGGCGGTGCCAAAGGCCTAAAGATCATTAATTAACTAACCAGTATTTCCGGTGTTTTCGGCTTCCGTTCACTGAGCATTTTGCCGAAGTGATTAAATCTTTTGTTTTAACAATATGTTCCTGTTCCTAACGTCTTAACAGAACTTGAGGAATTTAAGATAAAGTAATCATTTGTAGACGTCTAACTTCGGTAACACTCGGATTTTTATCTCTTTAGCCAATTGCTGTTCTCTAAATTGTCTTTAAAGTTTACAGATGTTAAAGCACAAAAGAAAAACTGAAAACTTAAAAAAGGAAGACAGAAATGCAGAGAGAAAAAGAAAAGAAAAACATATAACACACCTTTGGGTTAAGGCAGTGGTTTGCTTTAAGAAACCAAGGGAATGTGCCTGACGCGGTCTTGGACTTTAATATCTAAATTGCCATTGATCGAAGGCGAAGTTGAAAACAGGAAGAAAATTCGTTCATCCGCGTGATGGAATCTATTGTTTGTATTTAGGAGACCAAAACTAAAAGACATGCCATGAATACAAATAAGAAAAGAATACAGCTTTCTCTTTGGTTAATGATTGCTCAAGTTCATTTTCCTGGTTGCAGTAAGGGAGCAGCTTGTATCTGTATTTTTCGTCCATTCAGCAACGGTCACGTTTGGTTAGAAGTTGGGCTAGAACGAACCTTACCTCAAATATCGAAAAAAGGTAATTATGGAACGTAAGTTGTTTCACTGTTGCAACACTATTCAGCGGAGCTGTTTCACGGCTGTCTAGTTCAGTGAGTTTAATATTGTCATTAACGCGTCTTAAGTCTTTAAGCCGTGAGGAACTTAACGTTAGCGAGGAATTTGCTTGTAACTGACAAAATCACAGTTTCGTGTCAAACAAACATCTTTCCCGAAGCGCCATATGAAACTGTTACAAACAACAAAAATGAACTTTGGAAAACTGTTAGACTAAAAGCAAGTTTTCGAAAACCGCAACGTTGTCAGTAATCTTCATGAATCTTCAAGTTTGTCAATTCGTGCCTTCTTTGATGCCTTTTGCTTTTGCTGTGGTATTTAGGTTCTTTTAGTTTTTGGGCGGTCATTTTTATGTTTCACTCTTCTTTAATATTCTGATATCCATTTGCTCTCGGCAGCATAAGGCGAATTGGGCGGTCTGAAAGCAAACGGCAAAGCGGAAAAGCGTGATAGATGATACATCAAATCAGTTGCTTACTCAAGCCGTGGTTCTGGTAACCCATGAAGCCAGTAAGCTTGAGTCAATTCCTAATTCGCATGCTTTAAAACATTGGTCATTCATCGTGCAAAAGAGGCTTTAGGTCTGTTGAAGTTGAACTCTGTTACTATAAGCTCTACACCTGGGGGCTATTCTAGGTTTCAGTGGATGGAATTATCTTTGAGTACGTAAGAGAAAAGAACTTTAAGCACTTTAGCTTCAATAAAAGAATTTGTCGAATCAGCATGAACTGCTAAATATAAAACCAAAGATTCTAGCGAATTCAAGATTTCTCTGTACTTTCCTCCGATGAAGCGATTCCAGCGATACCCGAAATTCGCCGACAGTAAGATTCTCAGATCCACTGATTTCTTTAATTCGATAAAAACTAGTGCTCAAAGCTCAGAATACCGGTACCTATTCAAGAAATTAAAGATAGTTATTTTGGTGTTCTTTTATTATTGACATTGCAGTTTTGCAGCTAATCGCAGCCAAGGGTAGTTTAACACCTAAGCCGACTTACCAAATTACTGCTAACTCTCGACTCCGGAACTTGCAATTTTCAGCATCAATATTTATCTTTTATCGATCGTAGACAGGAGAACTTGAATAATATGTTTGCATTAGCACTTTACAGTGCCGGATCCAGACCTAAAGAACGCGGGGGGGGGGGTTGGGGTTGGGCTTATCCAGACCCTTAGATAAGGGGATGCCCGGTCTCCCAAAAAAATGTTTTCAACCCTTCGGGCCACACTTTGGTCCAAAAAGGGGGAGAGGGGCGCAGGGCCCCCGGGCCTGAGATTATCAGATAATGAGATAAGAGATTTGGTTTAGCGTAGAGCGTTTTCCGGTTTCCCAGTACAACGAAACAGCAGCCATGTTGGTGTCTCAAACCGATGCTGTGAGGGGTGAAAACCGGCTTTTCTAATGTAAAAGCTTTCTTTCATATCAATGTGGTCATATAACTTGAACTCGCTAACCTCTGCTGTTAATCTCTTTAGCCAATTCAGAATTGTTATTCTTTTTCTTTTTAACTTTACACAATATTCTGAATAAAGAACAACGAAAACAAAGTGCGATAAACAACAACAGCAGACACCGGGTTCAAGGCGGTGCTTTACTGTAAGAATACTATTAAAGTACATAATGTGCTTTTCGTGCTTTTTGAGACAAAAATCTGAGTTTATTGTCATCGATCGAAAGCAAAGTTGTAAACAGGAAGAACATTCGATCATCCGCGTTAATTATGAATTCTTTGTTTTTATACGTAATAGACAAACAAAAGATTAGAGCTTTGTTAATGCATTCCGACGCAGACGTTGATCGGTCTTTGTCACGCGATCCTTGCTGAACTTTCCGCTCACAGAGTTCCGTTTTCCATTTTCTAGAAAGTCTGGGCTTTGACCCACAATCCTTTCATGTAACCATCGATGACATAAAAACAAGGCAATGCTGTTCTCGGGCAAATGTATTTTTTTTCTGGATCCAGTCACCTCGGAAAAAACTATCAAAGAAAATCTTTCATAAAATATTATTAACATAAGAAAAGCCGAACTTATACATTATACTTGTTCAGGGGTCAAATTTTCGAAAACAAGAAGACGCCCGAAGGCGTTTACGCGAGATGTGTTGGTGGAAGAAAGAATTACCGGTATGTTCAATGGCAATGGATCCGAAAGTTGAGTAGTGTATGCAACAAATGTGTGCAGGAGAGACTGAGATGTTCTGTTAAGGACTAATACACTAGAAGATAAGTTACACCCAAGGGTTTCTTTGCTACTCAAAACAAAACTTACATCAATATTACCACCATATATGTTAGGAGTATGGGGTAGTTCACTAAAATTTGCATTCCTTTACTAATGTCCTCAAAAATGCACTTCCACATTCAACAATAGCACGTAATGTATCATACTTCCGATAACTACGGGGCTGCAAGACTGTACTCTAGGGAAAATTTCAGGGAGCCCTTCAGGCTCCCCAAGCATTTTAGCTGGGGTGCCCGGGTCTCCAAGTTGGTCGCCCAAATTAATAAATCAGTGAGCTGTTAGTTAATTATAAAAAAATTAGACAAATTATTTCTTAACAAGTCAAGCAGAATTTTGTGAATATTTTTTTCATGAAGAATCACATCCCTTTGACCTCCTGAGCGTGCGAAAAAAAATACCCGCATGTTGTCATATGAAAGTAAGTTTTCGCGCCATATGAGAAACATGGGCAACACCGCCGAATATTTCATGTTTTTTAAATGGAAAAGTAAGATTCTGGTCTGTTTATGTATTTTTTATAAAAAAAAAAATTGGGGTCAAAATAAGGGCACTATTCTTTGTACTAATCATTTGGATTTAGGTTGAAAAGAAAATTCGCTTATTAAGATTGACTGAGATCCCGTGGAGCTTTCTAGGAAAACTGTTATGATTTCAACGAAACCGCGGTGCCCCCCGGGGGGTTACTTGGGTTAATTTTTGCTGGGTATGTGCCGCTGGCCCCATTATAGTCTATTCTGTGGCCAATTGAACACCCCATATTAGTCACTTTTGGGCAAATATGTAATTTTTGCGATCCCAACTTAGTCACTTTCTATTTATGTATCTACCTTATCAATCCTTTAAATAGGTCATCAAAAAACGAATTGACCCATTTTTTAATAAATTGAATGAAGAACACTTTAGTTTTCACCTACAGTACAAATATCCTGGTACGTTTGCTAACCGTAAATATGAACAACTCTCTTACCCCAAAAATCCGTAAATGTGCGACCCCATTCTAGTAACTATTTTGAAAATGCAACCGCATTATAGTCAATCCAGTCGTGAAAATTCAACCCCATTCAGCGGCACATCCCCATTAGCTTCTTATAACGAAGTGCCCACCCCCCGGCTCGCCCCAAATCTATTATCTCTTTTGAATAGATCATCTTGTTGTAAAGTCGTCGTTTAAGCGCAGAACGGAAGTATTTTCTTTCTATATTATCGGTGAAATGTTCAGGACAAATGCACTTTCGTGGATTCGGTTAGCTTTTGCGTATTTATTTTTAGTACGTGATACGTAATGCCTTGTCACGACACGAAAGACAATGCGGGATTTTATAGATTTATACCCGATTCTAAAACAATCACAATAATAGCCGTCTCTTTTCTTTTTTATACATCGTATTTTACTGGAATAACAATCTTAGTTATGTTTTAGCCTCGTAGACACAGCAGTAAAAAAAAAAAAAAGAAGGTAAAAATATTTATTAACATAAAAGAACGACTCCCATGTTTATTCAGCGATTTTTCAAAATACAAAACTATTGTTTTGCGTCGCAGACCGTACTTCTAGACATTCTTAGCTTTTTGACTGTAAATCAACAGAAACAAGAAACCAAAACCAGCAAGTCGCCCGGCTGGGCCACCTAGACAATTTTTTCAGTCGCCCGAGGCCAAGCTAGTCTTGCGCCGTTAGAGCTAGAGCACAACCTTGAGTCTTTGTCCTCCTCTACGCTGAAAGCTTACTTTTCCCTTCTTTGCTGACGCAGTATCTTTTTCCTGCTTGTGCAATCCAACCTGACTTGCACGTGATTCGAAGTTGCACCCAATAAAAATCACACAATTTTTTCGGGACGGGCTCGGGATACGGGAAAGTTAAAAAATCAAGGCAATTTTTGACTCCCAAGACGACGAAAGGAATGCGCTCCCGAATTTAAGACGCTGGCTGACTACGTCATCCCGCGTAATAAACAGGAAATACCAACCTTGGGCGATACCTCCAAAAATGAGCAGCAGATTTTCAAAGTTCCGTGAACATGGTTGTTCATTAAAATGTTCCAAATAATGTGCAATACTTATTCAAAACTTGCATCAGACAAAACCAGCAATGCAACTATGGAGATCAAAAGTTCCAGCTGGCCTGTCATTCCATTCAGGATTTCTATTTATTTTCTGCACTTAGTATTAGGCTGGAAATTAACTCAGTAGATGTCTACTGCAATTCTTATATTGATGCACCTGGTGATTGGCTCTAGTGCATTTATGTATGTGATACATAGAGGATATTACATGGCCGCGCGGAGATACGAAATTTCTCTTCGAGTGTTGAAAAATATTTCACAAGTGAGATTAGCGAACGAGTGAATTATTTTTTCAACACGAGAAGAGAGAGCGGCCATGTAATATTCTATTTATTATATAGACACCAATGAAATACCAAACCATTTCACTTTAATAGTTTTTTGGTGTGAAAGGCGCGATTTATTATGTAGCCATAGCAAAGGTGATATTTTCCCATGTGAAGATAACATGTTATTTTCACATGTGGCGATATCAAGTTTTCGCGCGAAAGCTCACCTGGTATTTCATTGGTTTTTATATAACAAAGTTAGTTATTTTTCACAGAAACATTGTCGGAAGTGGCTTCCCTGTTAAGCAGACATTCTTGCGTGACAAGCCTGGGAGGTGGTGCTTTCATTTTCCTGGTTGCAGAATAAGAGCAGCTTCGATTCTATCCCCATTTTCAGTCCCTACAGCCATGTTTAGTTAGGAGGTGGGCCAACTGCGGTATCCCAAGCACCGAAAAGAGGTAATTCTAAGTTGTTTCACTGTTTTAACACTGCTTAATATTCTACTCCCCATTTTCTATGCCGTATTGGGCAGTCTGAATACCAATGCTGACAAAGCGTGATAGATGATATATCAAATCATTCTGCTTACGCAGGGCTTGGCTTTGCCATGATGCTAGTAAGCTTGACTTAGTTCTTCGCTAGTATGCCTTACATTGTTTGTGGGTTGTTGGTGCAAAAGGGGCTTAAAGCTGGAACACTGTTAAGCTACACATCTGAGTGCTATTCTAGGTTTCAGTGCCGGATGAAAATGTAAGTGATCACGGAAGAGGAAAGAAATTTCAGAACTGTAACTTTGATAAAAGATTAGTGAACTCGCTTTGAACTGCCGAATAAAACCGAATTGAAGCGGATATTACAATTCTCTAAACTTTCTTCCAATGATGCTATTAAGCTGATTACATTAGCACCCGAACTTTTCGTTGACCGGGTGCCCTGGGGTCTTTAATTGGCTAAAAAATAATGCCTATTGATTTGATGCAGGTCTGCTCCAGTGCTAAGAATTTCTAGCCAAGGATCAACCGAATGTGTTAAAGATGTGCAATCAAGAGCAATCCGGTAGGGCATTTCGTTGAAATAAATAAATAAATAAATAAATGAATAAGTAGATAAATAGGTAAGCTATATAGGTATGTGCCGCCCCATCGGGTAGGGTTTTTGTGCAGTTTTGGTCTGAAAACGGGTATGGTTTTTGAGGGAACTACGAGATTGTATGAACGTCTTTATCATTTCAATTCCAAATGAGTAAGAAAGAAAGAAAAATATGCGAATTCGAAATGGATTTGAAGGATTATTTTGTTTGCGCTCTAATCTAAGTAATGATAACATAATTTCTGCCTAATGGCCAGGTCTGGAGACGGGTATGGATTTTAGAGGTCTGGTCTGAAAACGAGTGTGGAAAATGACATTTTTTGGTCTGAAATCGGGTCAGGATTTGGAGAGCCGGGGGGCACCAGGAGCCGCCTCCAAGCCGTTCCCAGGAGTACCCCCCGGGGGTCCATATATTTAATAGGGAGCTTAAGCAACGACGCCGGGCGACGGCAACTAAAAGGGCAAAAAAGCAGTAGGTTTATAGTAGAAAAACAAAAACTTCGCACTTGCATCACGCTTTTTTGTTCATTTCTTTGCCGTCATTGCACGGTTTTGTCAAGGACGGGAACCTCAGACAACAACTTTCTTTTTCTTTTCCTGAACTTTGATACACTACTTATTAAGAATTCAACTTCAAACAATTTGCCAACATTTGATGAATTTAACGAGATGGAATAAGCGCGATAAAGTTTGAGGCAACATGAATTCAATTTTTTAGTGACGTTTTTGTAGCCGTCGCCGTCGTTGTTGTATACTGGTCAGGAACCCATAACTAGGAGCGAGTAACTTCCATGCGCTCGCATCACGGGGTTTTCACGGACCAGTTTATTTTTAGAACGGTTTTGGCGCGAATTTTGAATATCTTTTAAATTCCACAAACCAGTCAGCAAAACCTACAGACCTAAAAATGATATTTTTTGCCTTTTGATAACGTTTAGTTTTCCTTTTTGATATCTTATACTTCGAGTGCGCTCATAGACATGGTGGACAGTTCTTTTTTAGCGGGAAAACGTGCCCTAAAATGTGTCTAAAAATAAACTGGTCCGTAAAAACGCCGTGACATAGGCCTAGTGTGGGAGTTGCTCGCTCCGAGTTCTGGGCTCCTGACTGGTGTAATATCCTTTGAGGGTAAAAGTAGCGGTGTACACGAGCCAACAACCCAAACGGCCGGAGGTTAATTATCCCGGTTTCCTTAGCATGAAGCATGCCTAGGAGATACGAGTGGTATTAGGTATTATTATATAAACACCAATGAAATACCAAGTGAGCTTTCGCGCGAAAACGTGATATCTTCACATCTGAAAATAACATGTTTTATTTTTTTTCTGAGCTTGCGAGGGGGCGGAATCCTCGAAATCCTGCAATCTGATTGGTTCCGAGAGCGGGCAGTTTTTTCGATCTTGCCCGCTAACCCGGGCGGAATCGTTGACAGCTTCATTCACAAGTTTGTTTGTTGTTGTGAATGAGCAAAACCGGTGATTCAGAACCATTTTTCTTTTAAAACTTGCGCTATTATCAGCGTTAGCTAGGGAAAAGTGAATTTTGTTATTCAGACAAAACAGAGTACCGGGGGAACTCGCAAATTGTCTATTGCCTACGGCCTCGGGCGGTACTCAAGACCTCGGGCACAGTTTCTCCCAATACGGACCTCCCAGCCGGTGAATAACATATGACCACATATGTATCTTCACACGTGAAAATATCGCCATTGCTATGGCTTCATAATAAACCGCACCTTTCAGACCAAAAAACTTTTTCAGTAAAATGGTTTGGCATTTCATTGGTGTTTATATAATAAATAGAATATTACATGGTCGCTTGGAGATACGAAATTTCTCTTCTCGTGTTGAAAAAAATATTTCACTCGTTCGCTCCGCTCACTCGTGAAATATTTTTCAACACTCGAAGAGAAATTTCGTATCTCCGCGCGAACAACGCGACGAGCGAGGCTTGAACCCCAGATCTCCAGATCCGGAGTTCGAGGTGTTAACCGCTCTGCCACACACGCGCGTCTCCACGCAATAAATGAAACTGCAACAATAGACCATTTGCGAGTTCCCCGGGCCTCTGTTTCAAACCGAGGTTATGTGCTCAGCCTTCGATATGGAAATGATTTTTCATTCTCATACAAATAAAACTCATTTTCACAAGAAAGGTTGCGCACCTAGCCTCAGTTTGAAAGTGAGGGTTTTTGGAACTCGGAAGTGGCCTATTCTCCTTGCCAGTCCTTGGTATATCCTGTAGCATCTCATATCGGCCATAGAAATAATGTTAAAGTGTTTAAAATGTTTATAACAACTAAGCATAGAGTTCTTTAGGGCTTCACAAATTAAAATAGTTTAAGAGATCTTAAGTTAGTTAAATTGGTCGGGCTGGGGAAACGAGAAACAGCGAATTTTAGGGACCGCAAGCCATATTGGGTGGTATTGTCAGAGGATACGTAAAGATTACTAGAGTATGATTGGCGCGTTGCATAGAACTGAAGTAGTAAATTTAAAATACTCATTGAAACGGCTTTGATTTTCAAGGTAAGGTAAGACAAAAAGAGTTCTTGGTTGTAAAAACGATAAGAAAATTTCTTGGTTTTTCAGTGATTCATTAATATTAAAAGACGTTTCATTTACAACAGTTTAAAAAAGAGATTCATCGTTCTTAGCTTGGTATGTGAAAGGGTTATCATTTCTCAACACACTCAGGAAACTGAGGGGTACCTTTAATTTCAGAAATGGTACTATTTAAAGACCTATAAAAAGGATTAGAGGTTGGATCTCAATACGGAGCTTTCCTGTTAAAGAATTCGTTTAGTCCCCCTTCCCCCCTCCCCGAAGTTGCATATAAATTTCAAGAGATTTTTGTAGGAAATTTGCTATTCCATTCTCGTTCTCTTTCTCTGTTTCTGTCTCTCTTGGCTTTGTTTTGGTTTATCTAACTACATGTGGTCCGTTTCTTTTGTGATGGAACCTTTTCTGTTTGTTTTATCTTCGTCTATTTTTGTCTATCTCTGTTGATATCCGATTGACTGTTAGTTTTTCTCTTCAATTTAGGTTCCAAGGAGAATAAAAGCATCACTAAAAAATTAAAGGAGAAGGCAGCTTTGGGACTGTGGTGGCTGCTTGCTATTCCTATTCTGCCATTCTTCTATCTCTCTGGTCTGCAGGCCAATTGGCGAAAGCCAATAGATCCTGCGCTGGTAGTCAAGATCCTGTTTTTTCAGTTTTATTTGCCTGCCATAGATGTACTGACGGATTTCTGGACAGGAGCTACTTTTTTCACCAGCTGCCATGTTCTTTTCGGATGGTATACTATCTCTGTAACTTTTCTTCCATTTTTTGGTAAGCTTTTGTCCGAGATTACCCAAATAATAAAAATTAAACGAAAGCAAGGTAACATGTTTAATGCTATGTGGAAATTTCTGATCAGAGATAAATTGAAGCAAGTATTGGTGCAGTTGCCATTCATACAGCCTGGCGTCACTTTAAGTCAGATCAAGCAGTTATCTAAACTATCTGCTGAGGACGTCGAAGCGGAGAAGATTCTCTTTCGAATGGCGAGCGACAGGGTCTGGGAACCATTCCTGGAGGCCGGACCTCAACTCACTCTGCAATTACTGATCGTTTGGCAGACGGGAGAGGTTACATCTATACAATGTGTCACAATGCCTGTAAGTTGTTTTGCCTTGTGCTGGGCTGCAGCATCGACATTTTTTAATAGTAGAGTCGACCACGGCATCGCCAGTCCTCCAATTATCAGTAACCTGATTGTCACAGCCATAGTCTCTCTGCTTGTTATACCGCGGATTCTCTATTTTTCAATCATGGCATATTTATCAGGATACTGGGTCGCGATTACAATCATGAGCACGATTGCTGTCGTCTGGATAGCTCTGAAGTTTTTCTCAGTTAAAGAGCCAAAACCTAAGATGAAATACGATCGGGTTAAAAAAGAATACGTCGAGGACCCTTGCAAGGGATTCAAGCCATTAATGGATGAGATTAGACTGAAAAGCACCTTTTTATCTGTGTTTGCACCAACTGTTGTTGGATTCAAAAGATCCAAAATACTTTTGGTTTCTTCAGTTGCGTCCATCACTACGGTACTGTGCTCCCTTGTATCTTTATGGCTTTACTTGTCGTTTGGCAGATGGGGACACGCTAACAGCCCTAGTTTCCAGTCCTTGTCTTGCTCCTCAGAAAAGGCATGCCTGAGGTGTTCATTAAATGAAACCGACGTCTTGCGTTGCTCAAAAGTATCGTGGCCAACAGAACACAACATCAGCGAGCAAATCATTCAATACAGTTGGCAGTGTGGAATCAAAATATGCAAAACTCGATGCTGTGACAGCGGTGAACCCAATGACAACTTGGTATTTGGCTGGTTCCCAGCTCTCTTTTGTCTCATGGTTTTGTCTGCTGAGTCTTCACTCATCCTTGAATATATGACCGACTTTATCAGGCTGGAAAAATGGATCCCTTTAAAACATAACATTTTCCTCAGCTTGGCGATTGAGCTTGAGGAGAAAAAAGAGGCTGACAACGAGGCTTTAATGAAGAAGTGTTGCATACTTTGGACAAACTACATAAAAGATGAAAAGGACGACTCAAAACTATGCCGTTACGTCGGGGAAGGACAAAAAGTTGATGAACCAATCATCACAGCTCAGCGTAAAGGATGTTCTAGGATAAACTTTGTCACAGCTACAGTGAACGAGATGGTAGATATGCTCAGATATCCGTCACGTCATAAGAAGGCCTTACAGTCATGTCAGACGGAAAACAGTACAAAGGATCACCATGGCGATATGGATTTAAGCAAAAAACAAATTTTGGACGCGTCGAAGATTGGTGATGTAAAACAAGTCTACAAACAGCTGGAAGGAGACGTAGACATTGATGTGCAGTGTCCAGACACAGGCAATACAGCTCTCATGTTTGCTGCTGAAAAAGGCGACAAACCTATAACAGAATTGCTACTAATGGAGCAGGCCAGTGTTTTCTTAATCAACAATCGAGGCCTCAGCGCACTTACTTTGGCCCACGAAAAGGGTCATACAGCTATTGTCAATATGATCTGTACAAGACTGGCAGAAGACAAAGAATTAGACGCTCATATGCTTCATGCAAGTGAAGAAGGAGATCTAGCAACCGTTCTGGCGCTACTGAGCTTTGACACGAATCTTTTTTTTGTGGTAGACAAAATGCATGGGAAATCGAGCCTGCACCTTGCCGCTGAGAAAGGCCACTTTAACGTTGCCAGTTTCCTATGTGAAATGATGCGCCTTAAACCTGAAGCGATTATGGAGAAGAACAAATACAAAATGAATTACATTCATTCAACTTGTTTGGGTGGTAGCCTTGACCTCCTGCGACTGCTTCTGCCACTAATTGAAAAGATGAATCGCGACGCCATTGCTGAGACAGATGTCAACGAACGCACTGCTTTGTGGTTCGCTGCCCGAAAAGGACACCTGGAAATTGTTCGAGAACTTTTACCCATTTTTTCCAGCATCGATCCTCAGAGTATCATCGCAAGAAAGACAGACGGCTCGAACGCCCTTATGGCCGCAGCATTCTTCGGCCACACGGAAACCGTGCGAGAACTCCTCCCTGTCTTCAAAAACATCGATCCCTCAAGCCTCTTCGAGACGTACCATGACTGTGACGACGCCGGCAAAAACTTAATCTCAATCGCAGAACATTACGGCCACGTGGAAACCAAACAAGTGATTGAAGACTTCATGAGATCAAACAATCTATCGCACCCTACTGCAGGTCTTACGATTAACAGAAATTACTTGGTCGACATTAATCAGGTACACTTACAAATAGAGACTTCAGTATAGGATAACAGTGTACTGTCCAACCCTAGTGACTTACGACCCCATGAAGTTTAACAATTTTCCTTTGCCGAGGGCTGTAGACTGTTCATAGCCCCCTATTTTCCCTACGATCGTCGAGATCGAGCGCTTTGTGTTACTGGCGGTTATCGGACGAGTGTCAAATCTACGCAGGGGGCGGGGGAAAGTTTGGGAGGAGCGAGAATAACGTATTTCTATTTCCTCCACTCCCTTAAACCCCGACGTCCACCCCCTCGGTACATATAAAACCAAGATGGACGCCGTACCAGTAAGCGCTCGATCCTCTGACGTTCTTACGAAAAACAGGAGACTGTAAACAGTCTACGCAGGCTGTGGTGCCTTTAATATCGGCGAAACTAACCGGCAGCTCAACACGAATCCAGGAACACCTTTTGACAGACAAAAATTCTCACATTTTTCAGCGTCTTAATATTTAACTAATAGTTTTAAATGCAACACATGCGCAATATTTTCAACAAGGTCAACCTGAAACTCAAAAGCAGTTCTTTTTTATTTTTAATTCTACTACCTGTTACATTTAACATTGGGACGGGTGATAATTCAATTTTGGTCCACCCTTCTCCCCAGGATCTAATTTGGATGTGTAATTGGTTTAAAAAGTTAAAGTAATTTGACTATATTAGTCATTTGATACTGTGGATCACAATGTTTTACTCAGTCGGCTTCACTCAAAATTTGGTATTTCTGGAACGGCGCTGGAATGGCTCCGTTTCTACCTTAATGGAAGATCTCAGCGTGTTATGGTCCAAGAAAATCTATCTCGGAGTTTGAATTTGGACTTCGTACCGCAGGGCTCTTGCCTCGGGCCATTGCTTTTCACGATTTATGTAAGCAAATTGTTTGATGTCATCAAGGTGCACCTTCCCACGGTTCACTGCTAAGCTGACGACACACAGTTGTGTGTGTCTTTCAGTCCAAACATAAGCACCGGGCAATTTGAGGCTGTCACTGCTATACAGCACTGATAAACTTCTCCATGACGATAAAACAGAATTCCTAATGATTGGTACTAAGCAACAACTAGCTAAAGTTAATATTGATCATATTTTAATTGGAGACTGTATAATTAGACCAACAGGGGTAGTTAAAAACTTAGGGACATGGTTAGACTCGACTCTTTCAATGAATTCTCATGTAAACAACACTTGTTCCAATGCTTTTTATTACTTGTATAATATAACAAGAATTAGGAAATATATTTCTAGGCGGTCCACTGAGACGCTCATTCACGCATTTGTCTCAAGTCGTGTCGACTATTGTAACAGCTTGCTCTATGGCCTGCCAGCTTACCAGCTTAATAAGCTACAGAGGGTCCAAAATGCTGCCGCTAGGGTTAATTTTCCTGGAATCTAAATACTGCCATGTAAGACCGTTTCTGTATAATCTGCACTGGCTGCCGGTTAAATTCCGAATTGACTTTAAGATATTATTGTTAACGTATAAGGCTATCAATGGCTTAGCGCCTTTTTATCTCCAGGAACTTATTAGTCTTAAAGAAGCATGTAAATACAAGTTACGCTCCGAGAGTGATGGACTGCTACTAAACCCTGTGAAATTCAAGACTTTAACAACGTTAGGAGATCGATCTTTTGCTGCTGCTGCTCCTCAACTATGGAATTCACTGCCCTATTCAATTAGGAGTAGCCGCTCAGTAGCATCTTTTAAAAAGACACCCAAGACATTTTTATTTCAGAAGGCTTTTTTGTGATTTTATGTGCTTTTTAATCTCGTTTTTAGTAGGTTTTATGTAGTTTTTTACGATTTAAGTAGTCTAGGTAATTTTTCTAGTTTTAGTGTTGACATAATTGTTTTACTCTTTTTGGCAGGTTCATGCACTTTTTACATGTATACTTTATGCACTTATTATTATTATTATTATCATTATTATTATTTTATTTTATTTTGTTTTTATTTTTAAGCGCTGATGAAAATAGCAATATTGATATCGGCGCTCTATAAGTATTATTATTATTATTATTATATTTACTTTTGTAATGTCTGGAGCAACACCTGGAGCAACACCCTAAAGCACAACCTGAATAGTCTGAATAGGATCCAAGCTGTGCGAGCGGCCCGTATCGTCAGCAACACTATGAAATAGAAGATGATATTTCGCCTATAGTACCAGTAAGACAGTAGCTCTTCTACCGTCTGCCAGTAATGGCTTTTAAGTGTATGACAGGGTGTGTACCTGACTCCTTATTTTCGAAATATATCCAGAGCTACAATGAGGGACAAAAGAGTTGAGACACTTCTATAAAATGGCCCCTTTTTGGAAAGTGGACATACCAGTCTCCCACCCTTGTGTACCCCCACCCCCTCCCCCCAAAACCAGTGTTGTGTTTTAGACCTACAAGTCTTTCTTTTACTACAAACAACGTAAACATTGATTCGGGGGTGGAGGATTACGGCGTTTAAATGGAATGAAATAATAAATTTATGAAATTGTTGATAAAAGCACCCGTTTTAGAAAAGTGTGTCAACTACTTTTGTCCCTGACTGTAGCATCACTAAGCGTACCACGCGGAACTTCCAGCTGTTACATATTTCCAAGTATATACAAAACCTTCACAGGACAAAGAACCTTCTAATTCAGAGCAATTTAATCTTAACGCAGCCAGGAGCCTATAACTCGGTCGGTACAGCGCTGTGCAGAAGGGGAGGTCGCGGGTTCGATTCCCGGGACCGGACCAATACTCAGGGTCTTAAAATAAGTGATAAATGAAGGTACCCCGTTTGCACTGCAAGAGTATGGTGGCCCAGAAGGGTCACACATGCAAATGAAAAATGTTGCTGCAAACTAACAATTTTACCTGCAAATTAAAAATTGTACAAGCAAACTAAAAATATTACCTGCAAATTAAATACAGTACATGCAAACTAAAAATTGTGCTGCAAATTGAAAATAGAAAACATATCGATGCAAATTAAAAATGAAAAGTCCTGCGCGCGCAGTATGAGTGATGAGGACCTGGTCCGAGCCGTGCGACCTGGCCTTATTCATGTTTGTAATATTTTTAGTTTGCATGTACAATTTTTGATTTGTATGTTCTATTTTTAATTTGCAGCAACATTTTTAATTTGCAGGTAAAATTTTTAGTTTGCAGCAACATTTTTAATTTGTATGTGTGACCGTTCTGGGCCACCGTAAAAGCGGCTAGACCTTCGCGTGGCTCGGATGACCACGTTAAATGGCTGTCCCGTCTCCCGTCGGAGACGTAAAAAACGTGTGTGATCAATGAGTACTTTCGTGCTAAATACATCGACATTCAAATAAAGTGCATTGTTTAAAATTTTTTTAGAGACATAAATAGGACATTTTTACCCAGTTACTGAGTGTGTACAGTTTTAACCAGTCTTAGTTTTTAGCTTTTATGGTGCATGGGGTCTGCTTGTATTAGACATTTAAAATTATTAATGTTAATTTGAATTCTAAAAAGCCCTTTTCGGACGAATAAAGTACGTATTGAATTGTGTTATATTGTATTGTAACTAACCAAATTTGTAGAGGGGGAAAGGCGGTTTGTTATCTTCCCCAGGATTTTAGCAAAGATTGTTGATAGTTAAAGCTTACGACCAAGGGGAATAGACGCAATAATGAACAGTGTGTAAAAATAGCTGCATGTTCAGTTCTCTTATAACAATAGAACTGAGGAAACCTGATACCCGACAACGGCGATGGCAACGAGAACGTCGACCGAGAGAATAGGCTGTAGGCCCTTTCAACACTTATCCGGATATTTATAAAAATGGATATTTTTTTCTCCGTTTTCAGAAAATTATGCGAGTCCACATGTAGCGCATTTGAATCGTTTCGCCCGTCCACATGAAAACGTTAAAACGATGGTAATAGGATAGCATCCCTTACAGAGCATGCGTAATGTTAGTATAATATGATGTAAGCCAGCTTTACAAAAAATCTCCACTTGGGAACCGTTTCTGAAAACGCGTTTTGGTGCCCAAAAATGCTGTTGACGTGTGGAAGGTAAGCCGAAACGGAGAAAAAAAATCTCGCATACGTGTGGACTGGGCCACAGCAAAACACTTTTTTGTACATTTCTTTTCCGTCACCCCATGACTACCACGTGAAATTGCCTAATTTCACGTTTTATGTAGGACCGCAACCAGCGACAAAGAAAATTTCTTTCTCGGATATTTTTTTTAGAAATTATTTCGCCTATATTTGACAAAGTTAAAGAATTGGAATAATCGCGATGAAGATTAAAAAAACACAAATTCACTTTCACGGAACGCTTTCGTCGCCGTCGCGCCGTCGTCGGATTTTAGGCCCCGTCCACACGTATCCCTTTTTTTTTTGAAAACGGAGATTTTTTTCTCCAGTTTAATTTGGCCGTCCGTTCCCACGTATCCGGTGAAAACGGTTTCCTCGTGCAACTTAAGCAAAAGTCTCCAGGACCCACGGTACGAGTATTCTGTGAGATTTTCCTATTTTGGAACAACGTGTAAACTCAGCTGAAACCCTTAAAACTAAACAAACTATATTACAGTAAACAGTGCGACTACTCCGCGAATCGGAGTAAAACAACAAAAACAGTAAATAACGTCACTTAGCTTTTTTGAGCTTTCCCAATCTCTCTCGTTTGACTGTTTGAATTTCCGCCTAAAACCAATTGTGACTAATCTTCTCGCGCCTGTTTACCCGCGCATAATGAAGCCCATAATGCATTTCACGAGTCCGAAATTTCATTCGTAACCTGTGCTAACAGCCACTTGTCTTCAACGGTCATGTCTGTGTTTCGACCTCTTTTTTTTCCTCGGTGGACAGTCCAAATGTTCAGTCTTATGTTTTCTTTTCCACAAAGGCCTCTTTTTCACTACGGAAACGTCCACTATAGAGAGTTCAGTATCTTTGCGAATGTTTTAGAACAAAGTAAGCGTTTACTTAATTTAACTCCCAGACTACTGGTTTGGAACACCAACATGGCCGCTCTTTCATTGTTTTTGGCGCATCAAAATGGCTGCCGTGACGTCATGTGAAAACGCTTTTTGTGCGGCAAATACAAAATAAGATTGACCTAAATGAGGTTTTGTGATGCTTACACCACGTACCTACCCTTGTTTTCACTAAAACCGCTGGACACAAAACCTTCCCTGGGTGGATGTTACTTGTCACAACCTTTTTAGTGCGTCCATGCAAAAGCGCACAACGGACCCCTCTCCCCCTGCTCTCTGGATTTTTTCCAACAGGGTAAGCCTATGAGTTTTGGTCAAAGTTGGATATTTCTTTCAGTTTTGTGTATTGCTTAAATGAGTTCTACGACGTCCGACAGTGTTGTTGAAGTATTTCTAAGGGATAAGGCAATGATTTTGGCTCAAGATCTGAGCTTAAGGTTTTGTTTCTGTTTGGCCACAATTGGGCAAGAAACTTCTTCTATGACTGTGAATAATAAAAACCGAGTAAGTGATATTATGCGGCGGTGCCAAAAGCCTAAAGATCATTAATTAACTAAGCAATATATCCGGCGTTTTCGGCTTCCCTTCACTGAGCATTTTTCCGAGGTGGTTAAATCTTTTGTTTTAACAATATGTTCCTGTTCCAAACGTCTTAACAGAACGTAAGGAATTTAAGATAAAGTAATCAGTTGTATTGGTCTAACTCCGGCAACACCCTGCTGTTTATCTCTCTAGCCAGTTGCTGTTCTCTAAATTGTCTTTAAAGTTTACAGAAGATGTTAAAGAACAAAAGAAAAACTGAAAACATATAAAAGAAAGAAAGAAATGTAGAGAGAAAAAGAAAAGAAAAACATATAGCACACCTTTGGGTTTTAGGCAGTGGTTTGCTTTAAAAAACCAAGGCAATGTGCCTGACGCGGTCGTGGACTTTAAAATCTGAATTGCCATTAATCCAATGCCAAGTTGAAAACAGCAAGAAAATTCCTTCATCCGCGTGATGGAATCGATTGTTTGTATTTAGGAGACCAAAACTAAAAAGACATGCCATGAATACAAATAACAAAAGAATACAGCTTTCTCTTTGGTTAATTATTGCTCAAGTTCATTTTCCTGGTTGCAGTAAGGGAACAGTATCTGTATTTTTCGTCGATTCAGCAACGGTCACGTTTGGTTAGAAGATGGGCTAGAACGAACCTTACCTCAAATATCGAAAAAAGGTAATTATGTAACGTAAGTTGTTTCACTGTTGCAACAGTATTCATCGGAGCTGTTTCACGGCTGTCTAGTTCAGTGAGTTTAATATTGCCATTAACGCTTCTTAAGTCTTTAAGCCGTGAGGAACTTAACGTTAGCGAGGAATTTGCTTGTAACTGACAAAATCACAGTTTCGTGTCAAACAAACATCTGTTTCCGAAGCGTCATATGAAACTGTTACAAACAACAAAAATGAACTTCGGAAAACTGTAAGACTAACAACAAGTTTTTGAAAACCGAAACGTTGTTGTCAGTAATCCTCTTTAAGTTTGTCAATTCGTGCCTCCTTTGATGCCTTTTGCTTTTGCTGTGGTATTTAGGTTCTTTTAGTTTTTGGGCGGTCATTTTTATGTTTCACTCTTCTTTAATATTCTGATATCCTTTTGCTCCGTACCTTGATGCGGATTGGGCGGTCTGAAAGCAAACTGCAAAGCGGAAAAGCGTGGTTCTGCTAACCCATGAAGCCAGTAAGCTTGAGTCATTTCCTCACTCGCATGCTTTCAATTGAAACATTGGTCGTTCATCGTGCAACAGAGGCTTTAGTGCTGTTGAAGTTGAACTCTGTTACTATAAGCTACACATCTGAGTGCTATTCTAGGTTTCAGTGGATGGAATTATAATTGAGTTCGTAAGACATGTAAGAGAAAAGAACCCCCGGGGGGGGGGGGTACTTTAGGAATTTCTGGGTGGGGATGTGCCGCTGGGACCCTGGAACCCTTAACCTATACCAGAGCTAGTTCAGCTGAATTTTGCTACCCTATACTGGAGTAAACTCCCCAAATCCCCTTATCCTAGAGTGGCTGTTTACCTACTCTAGATAAAATCTTCAACCAAGTGATCAGTTTCCTGAAAAATGATACCCTATTCTAGACCCAAACGCTCTGATTTATACACCCTATCCTAGAGGAAACTGCTTGAAAACCATACCCTTCACAGCGGCACATACCTATATAGCCCATATATGGCATTATCCCCCCTCGGAAAAGAACATTAAGCATATTAGTTCCCCTTAAGGAATTAAGGGTTACGTTAAGAAAAAGGGACATATAAAAATTGGCCATGCCACGAATTCTTCCAAACAATTTTTAAAAGTATGCGGGGAATGTTTTCAATATTTCTCAGTCTACTCCTCTGTACAAGCAAGGGCGGATCCAGGATTTTTTTTTAGGAGGGGGTGCACTCGTCTCTTGCTCTACTTCAACACCAATAAACCACATAGTTTTTTTTTTTCGCAGAATACCAGTTGTATTAGAAAACCGCAGGTCATCTCAGGGGGCCCCCTGCACCCTGCCCCAAGATCCGCCCCTGACAAGATGGCGTTTGCGCCAGCACGAAAACCATGTAAAATACAGCTTCTGTTCACACACGATCGCGAGCCGTAACGAAGCAAAGCGGTGCTGCACCGATTTGAAATTGGATCATCACATATTGATTAGGTCAACAACTCCCGATATTGTTGGGGTTTTTTTGCGTCAGTGGACGTAGCTAAAAGTTTGATCGGTTTCAAACTTTGCGCAATAACTCCCAACAACAGGCAAGAACATGGAACAGGGTGTACAAACAGACCCCAGGGGCGTAGCCAGCCCATAGACCTGTAGGCCCGGGCCTACAAATTTTTGGTTTGATCAGTCTACTGCTTGTAATAAATTATGCGTTGTTGGTGTGAGCTAAAAGGCTTAAGAGCTCAAAGTGGTGAGCTCAGTGCCTACTAGTCACGCGTGAGATTTTCAGGATGTGTGGAAATGAAAGTCAGCCACGCCTAGAACTAGTCGAAAAGCTGGCTACGCCCGTGGCAGCAACATGTAACAGATGTGACATCCAACGATGTTAGGAGTTGTTGGCTAACAACGTTGCGTCCACTTGCACGGGGCTTGATTGCATGTATTTTGCGTAGTTGATCATGACAAACTGATGTTCATGCTATATCGGATAGCTTTTAATGTAGACAAGAAAATCTATCCGGTAAAGTGTAAACACAGCTTACAAAGTCGTGAAGGATGAAATAATGAGAAAAGAGGTTTGATTTAGTGAAGAGCGAAAACAAAACTGGCGATAAACAACAACAGACACCGGGTTCCAGGCGGTGCTTTATTATGAAAATACTAAGTACATAGTACATAATCGTCATAATGTGCTTGTCGTGCTTTTGGAGACAAAAATCTGAGTTTATTGTCAACGATCGAAGGCGAAGTTGTAAACAGGAAGAACATTCGATCATCCGGGTTAATTACATCCTCGGAGACCCAGGGGCAGATAAAGGGGACGAGGGAAAGTCTAAACGGGCGGAAAAATATATATGGAACGAAGAAAAGTAAAGAACGGCGACCGTTTGGAACTGGTCTGGTAAGACATTGTCCCCAGGGGCTCTTCTCGCCGTTCTTTACTTTTCTTCGCGCCACATTTTCCCGCCCGTTTAGACCTTCCCTCTTCCCCACTATCTGCCCCTGGGTCTCCGAGGATGGGTTAATTATGAATTCTTTGTTTTTTACGTAATAGACAAACAAAAAAGCTTTGTTTAAAGTGCATTCCGACGCTGACGTTAATCGGTCTTTGTCACGCGATCCCTGCTGAACTTTCCGCTCACAGAGTTCCGTTTTCTATTTTCTGGAAAGTCTGGACTTTCCCACAGTCCTTTCATGGAACCATCGATGATGACATAAAAACAAGGCAATACCGTTCTCCGCCAAATTTTTTTTTTTCTGGATCCAGTCACTTCGGAGAAAACTATCAAAGAAAATCATTCATAAAATATCATTTACATAAGAAAAGCCGAGCTTATACACTATACACGTTCAGGGGTCAGATTCTACGAAAATGACCTTGGGCGATATCTCCAAAAATGAGCAGCAGATTTTCAAAGTTCCGTGAACATGGTTGTTCATTAAAATGTTCCAAATAGTTTGCAATACTCATTCAAAACTTGCATCAGACAAAACCAGCAATGCAACTGTGGAGATCAAAAGTTCCAGCAGGCCTGCCATTCCATTCAGGATTTATATTTATTTTCTGCACTTAGTATTATAGGCCGGAAATTAACTCAGTAGATGTCTATTGCAATTCTTATATTGGTGCACCTCGTGATTGGTTCTAGTACATTTATGTATGTGATACAGTAAGTTGATATTAGTTGTTTTTCACAGAAACATACATTAACGGAAGTGGCTTCCCTGTTAAGCAGACATTCCAGACATTCTTGCGTGACAAGCCTTGGGAGGTGATGCTTTCATTTTCCTGGTTGCAGAATAAGAACAGCTTGTATCCGCATTTTTCACTCGCTACAGCCATGTTTAGTTAGAAGTTGGGCTAACTGCGGTTTCCCGAGCACCAACAAAAGGTAATTCTAAGTTGTTTCACTGTTTTAACACTGCTTAATATTCTACTCCTCATTTTCTATGCCGTATTGTGCAGTCTGAATACCAATGCTAACAAAGCGTGATAGATGATACATCAAATCATTCTGCTTACGCAGGGCTTGGCTTTGCCATGATGCTAGTAAGCTTGACTGTTCTTCGCTCGTATTCCTTACATTGTTTGTGAGTTGTTGGTGCAAAAGGGGCTTAAAGCTGGAACACTGTTAAGCTACACATCTGAGTGCTATTCTAGGTTTCAGTGCCGGATGGAAATGTAAGTGATCACGCAAGAGAAAAGAAATTTTAGAACTGTAACTTTGATAAAAGATTAGTGAACTCGATTTGAACTGCCGAATAAAACCGAAGATTGAAGCGGATATTACAATTCTCTAAACTTTCTTCCGATGATGCGATTACACTGATTACATTAGCACCCGAACTTTTCGTTGACCGGGTGCCCTGGGGTCTTTAATTAGCTAAAAAATAATGCCTATTGATTTGATACAGGTCTGCTCCAGTGCAAAGAATTTCTAGCCATGGATAAACCGAATGTGATAAAGATGTGCAATCAAGAGCAATCACCCGGTAGGGCATTGTGTTGAAATAAATAAATAATTTATATAGCGCTGTATTCACAGTGCGTTTCCGATTTACTGTTGAACCACTCTATAACGGCTACCCTGGGTGCCAGAGACTTTTCTAGCGCGGTTTCCGGTTTCGCTTCGGCCTACGGCCGAAGATGTGTCGGCCTTCGGCCAACACCGAAAATTCCCCCCGCACGCGAGAAAAACCTCTGGTACCCAGGGTATATAACGGCCACCTTGGGGACAAAATAAAGTGGCCGTTGTAAAGAGTCTGTAAAGAGGTGGCCGTTGTAGAGAGGTTTTAAACAATTGTCCGCCGGGAGGAAAAAAAGTGACCGTAAGCGGAGGTTCGACTGTATCTTATTCCGGAATAAGAATACGCAAAAATTTGTGGAGTACTCCCTTATATAAGCTATATAGGTATGTGCCACCCCATCGGGTAGGGTTTTTGCACGGATTTGGTCTGAAAACGGGTATACACTTTGCCCATTTTGGTCTGGAATCGGGTACGGTTTTTGAGAGAACTACGAGATTGTATGAACGTCTTTATCGTTTCAATTCCAAATGAGTAAGAAAGAAACAAAAATATGCGAATTCGAAATGGATTTGAGTGTTGTTTGCGCTCTAATCTAAGTGATGATAACATAATTTCTGCCTAATGGCCAGGTCTGAAAACGGCTATGGATTTTAGAGGTCTGGTCTGAAAACAGGTGTGCAAAATGACATTTTTTGGTCTGAAATCTGGTCAGGATTTGGAGAACCGGGCGGCACACCCCCACCAAGAATTCTCAGGAGTACCCCCCCGGCGGTCCATATATTTAATTACACTGGCCAGGAACCCATAACTAGGAGCGAGTAACTTCCATGCGCTCGCGTCATAGGGTTTTTACGGACCAGTTTATTTCTAGAACGGTTTTGGCGCGAATCTTGAATATCTTATAATCAGCAAAACCTACAGACCTAAAAATGATATTTTTTGCCTTTTAATAACGTTTAGTTTTCCTTTTTGATATCTTATACTTCGAGTGCGCCCATAGACATGGTGGACAGTTCTATTTTCGCGGGAAAAAGTGCCCTAAAATGTGTCTAAAAATAAACTGGTCCGTAAAAACGCCGTGACATAGGCCTAGTGTGGGAGTTGCTCGCTCCGAGTTATGGGTTCCTGACTGGTGAAAGGCGACAGAGTGGAGTAAAGTTCCTTTTTTAAGGAAACAACGCGACGAGCGAGGCTTGAAACCCAGATCTCCAGATCCGGAGTGCGAGGTGTTAACCGCTCGGCCACACACGTCTCCAAGCAATAAATGAAACTGCAACAATTCTCCATGGTATATCAGGTAGCATGCATATCGACCCTAGAAATAATGTCAAAGTGTTTAAAATGTTTATAACAGCTAACTTAGAGTTCTTTAGGGCTTCAGAAAGTATAATAGTTTAAGAGATCTTAAGTTAGTTAAATTGGTCGGGCTGGGAATTCCAAAAAAGAGAAACAGCGAATTTTAGGGACCGCAAGCCATATTGGGTGGTATTGTCAGAGGATACGTAAAGATTACCAGAGTATGATTGGCGCGTTGCATAGAACAGAAGTCAAGTAAATTTAAAATGCTCATTGAAACGGCTTTGATTTTCAAGGTAAGGTAAGACAAAAAGAGTTCTTGGTTGTAAAAAAGATATGAAATTTCTTGGGTTTTTAGTAATTCATTCATATTAAAAGACGTTTCATTTACAACAGTTTAATAAAAGAGATTCATCATTCTACGCTTGGTATGTGAAAGGGGTACCATTTCTTAACATACTCAGGAAACTGAGGGGTACCTTTAATTCCAGAAATGGTACTATTTAAAGACCTATAAAAAGTGTTAGAGGTTGGACCTCGGAACGGAGCTTTCCTGTCAACCTCGTCCCCAGGGCGCTTTTCCCCGCCCCCAAAGCCAGGGAAAAGCGCCCTGGGGACGAGGTTGCTTTCCTGTTAATATAAGGAATTCGTTTAGTCCCCCTTCCCCCTCCCCGAATTTGCATATAAATTTTAAGAGATTTTTGTAGGAAATTTGCTATTCCATTCTCGTTCTCTTTCTCTGTTTCTGTCTCTCTTGGCTTTGTTTTGGTTCATCTAACTACATGTGGCCCGTTTCTTTTGTGATGGAACCTTTTCTGTTTGTTTTGTCTTCGTCTATTTCTGTCTAGCTCGGTTGATATTCGATTGACTGTTAGTTTTTCTCTTCAATTTAGGTTCCAAGGAGAATGAAAGCCACACTAAAAAGGAGAAGGCAGCTTTGGGACTGTGGTGGCTGCTTGCTATTCCTATTCTGCCATTCTTCTATCTTTCTGATCTGCAGGCCAATTGGGTAAGGCCTATAGATCCTGTGCTGGTAGTCAAGACCCTGATATTTCAGTGTTATTTGCCCGCCATAGATGTACTGACGGATTTCTGGACAGGAGCTAGTTTCTTCCTCAGCTGCCACGTTCTTTTTGGATGGTATACCATCTCTGTGACCTTTCTCCCATTTTTTGGTAAGCTTTTGTCCGAGATTACCCAAATAATAAGAATTAAACGAAAGCAAAGAAACCTGTTTAATACCATGTGGAAATTTCTGATCAGAGATAAGTTGAAGCAAGTATTGGTGCATTTGCCATTCATACAGCCTGGCGTCACTTTAAGTCAGATCAGGCAGTTATCTCAACTATCTGCTGAGGACGTCGAAGCAGAGAAGATTCTCTTTCGAATGGCCAACGACAGAGTCTGGGAGCCATTCCTGGAGGCCGGACCCCAACTTGCTCTGCAATTACTGATCGTTTGGCAGACGGGAGAGGTAACATCTATACAATGTGTCACAATGCCTGTAAGTTGTTTTGCCTTGTGCTGGGCTGGAGCATCGACATTTTTTAATAATAGAGTCGACCACGGAATCGCCAGTCCTTCAGTTATCAGTAACCTGATTGTCACAGCCATAGTCTCTCTACTTGTTGTACCGCGGATTCTCTATTTTTCAATCATGGCATATTTATCAGGATACTGGGCCGCGATTACAATCGTAAGCATGATTGCTGTTGTCTGGATAGCTCTGAAGTTTTTCTCAGTTAAAGAGCCAAAACCTAAGATGAAGTACGATCGGGTTAAAGATGAATACGTTCTGGACCCTTGCAAGGGATTCAAGCCAATAATGGATGAGATCAGACTAAAAAGCACCTTTTTGTCTGTGTTTGCACCAACTGTTGTTGGATTCAAAAGATCCAAAATACTTTTGGTGTCCTCAGTTGCCTCCATCACTACACTACTGTGCTCCCTTGGATCTTTATGGCTTTACTTGTCGTTTGGCAATTGGGGACACGCTAACAACCATACTTTTCAATCTTTGTCTTGCTCCTCAGAAAAGCCATGCCTTAGGTGTCCATTCAATGAAACCGACGTCTTGCGTTGCTCAAAAGCATCTTGGCCAACAGAAAACAACATGAGCTATCAAATCCTTGACTACAGTGTGCAGTGTGGAATCAAAATATGCAAACGTCGATGCAGTGACAACGGCGAACCCTATGACAACTTGGTATTTCGCTGGTTCCCAGCTCTATTTTGTCTCATGGTTTTGTCTGCCGGATTTTCACTCCTCCTTGAATATATGACCGACTTTATCAGGCTGGAAAAATACATCCCTTTAAAACACAACATTTTCCTCAGCCTAGCGATTGAACTTGAGGAGGAAAAAGAGGCTGACAACGAGGCTTTAATGAAGAAGAAGCGGATACTTTGGAGAGGATACATAAAAGAAGGAGAGGACGACTCAAAACTATGCCGTTACGTCAGAGAAGGACAAAAAATTGACCAAGCAATCATCACAGCTCAGCGTAAAGGATTTTCCAGGATAAACTTTGTCACAGCTACAGTGAACGAGATGGTAGATATGCTCAGATATCCGTCACGTCATAAAAAGGCCTTACCGTCAAGTCAGACGGAAAACAATACAAAGGATCACTATGGCGATATGGATTTAAGCAAAAAACAACTTTTGGACGCGTCGAAGATTGGTGATGTAAAACTAGTCTACAAACTGCTGGAAGGAGACGTAGACATTGATGTGCAGTGCCCAGACACAGGCAATACAGCTCTCATGTTTGCCGCTGAAAAAGACGATAAAGCTATAACAGAATTGCTACTAATGGAGCAGGCCAAGGTGTTTTTACTCAACAATCGTGGCCTGAGCGCACTGACTTTGGCCCACGAAAAGGGTCATGCTGTTATTGTCAATATGATCTGTACAAGACTGGCAGAAACTAAAGAATTAGACGCACAAATGCTTGTTGCAAGTGAAAAGGGAGACCTAGCAACCGTTCGGGCGCTACTGAGCTTTGACACGAATCTTTTTTTTGTGGTAGACAAGATACACGAGAAATCAAGTCTGCACCTCGCCGCTGAGAAAGGCCACTTTAACGTTGCCAGTTTCCTATGTGAAATGATGCGCCTTAAAACTGAAGCTATTTTGAAGAAGAACAAATACGGAATGAATTACATTCATTCAACTTGTTTGGGTGGTAGCCTTGACATCCTTCGACTGCTTCTGCCACTAATTGAAAAGATGAATCGCGACGCCATTGCCGAGGCAGATGTCAACGGACGCACTGCTTTGTGGTTCGCTGCCCGAAAAGGACACCTGGAAATTGTTCGAGAACTTTTACCCATTTTTTCCAGCATCGATCCTCAGAGTATCATCGCAAGAAAGACAGACGGCTCGAACGCCCTTATGGCCGCAGCATTCTTCGGCCACACGGAGACCGTGCGAGAACTCCTCCCTGTATTCAAAGACATCGATCCCTCAAGCCTCTTCGAAACGTATCATGACTGTGACGACGCCGGCAAAAACTTAATCTCAATCGCAGAACATTACGGCCACGTGGAAACCAAACAAGTGATTGAAGACTTCATGAAATCAAACAATCTACCGCACCCTAATGCAGGCCTTACGATTAACAGAAATTACTTGGTGGACATTAATCAGGTACACTCACAAATGAAGACTTGGGTATAGTATAATAACTTGGGTATACTGCCCTACCCAAGTCACTTACGACCCCTTGTAGTTTAACAATTTTCCTTTGCCGCAGGCTGTAGACTGTTCATAGTCTCCTATTTTCCCTACGATCGTCGTTAGCGAGCGCTTTGTGTTACTGGCGGTTATCTCGAACGAGTGTCAAATCTACGTAGGGGGCGGGGGAAAGTTTGGAAAGAAGCGAGAATATTTTTTTCTATTTCCCCCACTCCCTTAAACCCCGAGTGTCAAATCTACGAAGGGGGACGGGGGAAAGTTTGGAAGTAAGCGAGAATAATGTATTTCTATTTCCCCCACTCCCTTAAACCCCGAGTGTCAAATCTACGGAGGGGGGCGGGGGAAAGTTTGGAGGGAAGCGAGAATAACGTATTTCTATTTCCCCCACTCCCTTAAACCCCGAGTGTCAAATCTACCTAGGGGGGCGGGGGAAAGTTTGGAGGGAAGCGAGAATAACGTATTTCTATTTCCCCCACTCCCTTAAACCCCGACGCCCACCCCCTCGGTACATATTAAACCAAGATGGCCGCCGTATCAGTAACCGCTCATCCTCTGACGATCTTACGCAAAACAGGGGACTGTGAACAGTCTACGCAAGCTGTGGTGCCTGTTATATCGAACACGAATCCAGAAACACCTTTTGACGGACAAAAATTTTCACATTTCTCAGCGTCTTAATATTTAACTAATAGTTTTAAATGCAACGCATGCGCAATATTTTCAACAAGGTCAACCTGAGACTCAAAAGCAGTTTTTTTTAATTTTTATTTCTACTACCTATAACATTCAACATTGGGACGGGTGATAATTCAATTTTGGTCCACGCTCCCCCTCTAGGATCTAATTTGGATGTGTAATTGGTTTAAAAAGTTAAAATAATTTGACTATATTAGTCTATTACTTTTGTTATGTCTGGAGCAACACTTGGGGCAACACCCTAGAGTGCGAGCGGCCCGTATCGTCAGCAACACTAGGAAATAGATGATGATATTTCCCCTATAGTAACAGTAAGACAGTAGCTCTTCTACCGTCTGGCATTAATGGCTTTTAAGTCTATGACAGGGTGTGCACCTGACTCCTTATTTTCGAAATATATCCAGAGCTACAATGAGGGACAAAAGTGTTGAGACACTTCTATAAAATGGCCCCTTTTTGGACAGTGGACATACCAATCACCCACCCTTGTGTACCCCCACCCCCTCCCCCCAAAAACAGTGTTGTGTTTTAGACCCACAAGTCTTTCTTTTACTACAAACAACATTGATTCGGGGGTGGGGGGGATTTACGGCGTTTAAATAGAATGAAATAATATATGTATGAAATTGTTCAGTGATAAAAGCACCCGTTTTGTCCCTGATTGTAGCATCACTAAGCGTACCACGCGGAACTCCCAGCTGTTACATATTTCCAAGTATATACAAAACCTCCACAGGACAAAGAACCTTCTAATTCAGAGCAATCTAATCTTAACCGCGGCCAGGGCCCGGTTGCATGAAAACTACACATACGTGCCCACTTAAGTAGCTCACTTACGAATCCGTTATGGGTACACTTACGGGTGTTTCATGGAACGCACTTAGCACTCTCGTAAGTTTCTGTTTTACGTGGTAACTTATGGCCTCACTTAAAGGCACACGTAACTTTGATATAGTACTTCATTAATGACTCAATCTTTTTTTTTTTAAAGCTAACCATCGGTGAGTGTAAAGAAAGTTTTTAGTCGTTTCGAATACTTTTAAGCCTCTCACGAAAATGAAATTTGCACGCAGACGTTATTTTTCCTCAACATTTACTGAAAATGATTGTTCTTCTTCTTTTTTCACAACGCCGGCTTTAAAGTGTACATCAGAGGTTAACAAAGCGTATTAGAACGAATAACGTGAAGAAAAATACTTCTTTTCACTTCTCAGTAAAAGATCTCGTTAAGTTTAGTAAAAACAGTAACGATACGGGACCTACATAGGTCCCGTAAATTTACGTGCTATTTTTCCCGTAAAAAAGGTTTTATGCAACACCCGCAATTTCTGTTGCATAAACGACACTTAAGTGAACACTTACAAAAATCGTAAGTGAAAGCACTTGAGTGAATTCCCTAAGTGGATCACTTAAGTAATTTAATGCAACTGACTTAAGTTACGAGTGCACGTACGCGTACCCGTAGATGTTACGGGCGTTTTATGCAACTGGGTCCAGGAGCCTATAACTCAGTCGGTACAGCGCTGTGCAGAACGGGAGGTCGCGGGTTCGATTCCCGGGACCGGACCAATACTCAGGGTCTTAAAATAAGTGATAAATGGACTGCAAGCGGCTAGACCTTCGCGTGGCTCGGATGACCACGTTAAATGGCTGTTCCGTCTACAGTTGGAGACGTAAAAAACGTGTGTGATCAATTAGTACTTTCGTGCTTATACATTGACATTCAAATAAACTGCGCATGCATTGTTTAAAATTTTTTTAGAGACGTAAATAGAACATTTTTACCCAATTATGAGTGTGTACAGTTTTTACTCGTTTTAGTTTTTAACCTTATTTTTCATAGGCTCTGCTTGTATTAAACATCAATTCATGATTTTAATTTTTATTCTGAGAAGCCTTTTTAGGACGAATAAAGTATGTATTGTATTGTGTTATATTGTAACTAACCAAAATTGTAGAGAGGGAAAGGCAGTTTGCAACAGTATGCTTCCCCAGGATTTGAGCAAAGATTGTAGATAGCTAAAGCTTACGACTAAGGGGAATAGATGCAATAATTAACAGTGTGTAAAAAAATAGCTGCATTTTCTTTTATAACAATATATCTGAGGAAACCTAACATCCGATGACGGCAACGAGAACTTGTACGGAGAGAATAGTCTATAGGCCCTGTCAACACTTATCCGAATGCTTATAAAAATAAAGATTTTTTTTCTCTGTTTTCAAAAAATTATGCGAGACCACATATTTCGCATTTGTATCGTTTCGCCCGTCCACATGAAAACGCTAAAACGATAGATATACGATAGCATCCCTTACAGAGGATACGTAATGTTAGTAGAATATGATGTAAGCCAGCTTTACAAAAAATCTCCACTTGGGAACCGTTTCTGAAAACGCGTTTTGGTGGCCAAAAATGCTGTTGACGTGTGGAAGGTAAGCCGAAACGGAAAAACACTTTTTTGTACATTTCTTTGCCGTCACCGCATGACTACGACATGAAATTGCCTAATTTCACGTTTTATGTAAGACGTCAACCAGCAACAACGAAAATTTCTTTCTCTATCTAAGTGGATCGACATTATTTTTAGAGAAGATTTCGCTAATATTCGACAAAGTTAAAGAGTTGGAATAATCGCGATGAAGATTGAAAGAACACAAATTCACTTTTACGGGACGTTTTCGACGCCGTCGCGCCGTCGTCGGATCTTAAGCCCGGTCTACACGTATCCTTTTTTTGTTTTTGAGATCCAACGACGCGGACGACAACTACAACGTCAAAAAAACAATAGGTTTAATTAGCAAAACAACAACTTCGCACGTGCAACACACTTTTTTGTTCATTTCTTTCCTGTTTTTGAACGACTTTGACGTGAAAATGCCTAATTTTACGTTTTATGGAGGACGTAAACAAGCAACGACGAAATTTTATTTCTCTTTCTGAGCTTTAATTTGGTCCCTTGAAATTCAGCTTCAGGAGGGTTCGCCTACAATTGACAAAGTAAGTGGGTAGGAATAATCGCTATAAAGACTGAAAAAACTCAAATTCACTTTTTAAGCGACGTTCTGGCGCCGTCGCGCCGTTGGATCTTAAAGTCCCTAGTTTCCTCGTGCAACTCGAACAAAAGTCTCCAGGACCCAAGATACGAATATTCGATGAGATTTTCCTTGATTTGGGACGATGTGTAAACACACCTGAAACCACAGCAACTTAACAAACTATATTACAGTAAACATTGCGACTACTCGAACCCGGGGGGAAGGGCGGGGGGAGGCACTTGGAAGGGGATTATCCAATCACAATGTTTTTTGAAAACAAAAGATACTCAAGTTTATTTATTTGTTTAGTCAAAAACTGTTGTGATTGGATGATTTTCTTCCAAGTACCCCGGTTCGAGACCGAGTAGTTGCACGTTAAGGTAAAGGTAAAGGCGCTCACGAGCCAAAGGCCCACGCCGTTGGAGCTTATTTCCGGTTTCCGTAGCATGAAGCATGCCTAGGAGTATTGCTACTCCCCCCTGGACGGGATGCTAGTCCATCGTATCGCACTTGGAAGGAGATCATCCAATCACAATGTTTTTGAAAGCAAAAGCTACTCAAACGGACCAATAAAATTCACGGTTCATCTATGCAAGTGTTGAAAACTTTAAAACCGCTTGAACTTACCTAACCTCTCAGGTAACAGTCCTCAAATTCGTCAAAGTTATTGGTCCCCGTTTGCAAGAAAAGTTGAGAATCTTTTGGTTTTCAAAAACTGTTGTGATTGGATAATCTTTTTTTAAATGCCCCAGTTCGAGTAGTTGCACCGTAAGCCAGAGGGAAAATCTTGACAAAAGAGGTTTGAAACGCAAGTAAAAATTATTTGTTTTAGCTTTTGGATCCGATCCTAGTTTAGACATTTTTGGTTTTAATGAATTATTTTCGGAGGATGGAATTATGCTCTGTTGAGAACACGGTATTCTTAACAGACCCTTGTCTATCAACATTTTAAATTTCCGTAGCGATTTTGATTACATGTCCGGCAATATCTCCGAGTCTGTTAAGTGATTAAAAGTAATATATTTCTCTTTCCGGAATATATAATTTATAAACAATGCAAGTGATTGCTAAGCTGAGTTTATTTTTAAATTTGATTCGCGACAAGAAAATAACATTGCAATTGTACAATTTTGTGATTTTAAGTTTGAGCCTGTTTAATCATTGACATTCGGCTTTTGCTTAATATAAATTCTATTTATTCAGAGGCTTTTTGAAGAGTTTAAAATTGAAAGAAAAATCCAAAACTATATTTTGTCGTGTCCAAAGTGATGTTGTGGGAAAAGGCGTTCGAGCAAAAAATCACCACTAAATAAATAATAAAAGTGCCACGCGATGATAAATGGCCGAATGAACGTGTTATCGGCTTAAAAACGTTGGACTGTATCACATGTCTCTGTGCATTTGTTAAGATGAAAGAAGTTCGACTGTTCGTCATTAATTTAGACATTTCAAGACGAGAAAAAAGTTGAATATATTATTTAAGCACAGCCAAATGCATTTGTACTTAAGCCAGATTCCCCTCGCATTTTGGCATTCAGTTAACGTTAATATCTTACCGTCAATTTATAAACAACTTAATGAGGTCTGAAACAGCCGAACCAATCAAAATATTCCTAAAATGAGAGAATTTCATAAAATAGAATCTAAACGGAAATGTAACTTCGTGAATTACCGGTGTTGTGTCAAAATGATGTTTTTTAGACATTCAAAATTTTGTTTTTCAAACTTTGCCTCCGGTTTTTAATTTTTGTTCACCGGCAAGCAAACAAGATTGTTTACTAGAAAAATCGCGCTTGCTATAGGACACCTATAGCTTTGTTATTCTTCAAAATATTTTGTTTCTTCAGGAGTATCAAATCTAACCAATCTAATTTTGAAATGACACGTTCTACAATTAATACTTTGGCACCCAGCAACAAAGTGAACATAATTGTCCATCAAAATAAAAAAAAGAGCGATTCCCAGATGTCGCAAAGTAAATATAGTCTTGTTACAAACCCGTTTATGTCTTGGTTTAAGTAAATAATAGACAGAACAAAAGATTGTGGTCAATTTTTGCCCTTCAAAAGCTTCTTTTTTATAGCGGAGAGATTTACAGAAAAGAGGCTAAACAACCTGGTGAATGAATAACTTTTCGTCAATCTTTAATCTATAACTGTTGACATTTGATCTACACTTAAACACTGGTCAGGTCAGATTGTGTTTACTGTGATACAAACGTCATTTGGATTGCTCAATACTACAACCGCACTGTACGTACAACTACTCTGGCGAAAAGCTAACAATGCCCAACAATACAACTATGGGCCTTGGAGCGCAAGTTCGTCTACTCGAAGGTTCCGGATTGACTCTGGTTCTTCTTCTCTCGCTACTGCTAAATCTCTCAGTTTGTGGTATCATTTGGCGGACAAGACAGTTGAGAAACAAGCCAACGAACACGTTTGTAGCAAACTTGTGCATCGCGAATTTGTTGTTAACAGCTTGTGTAATCCCGTTTAGCCTTGCTACTGTTATTCAAGACCAGCACGGAGGCTATACTCACATTCTTTGCCAGGTAACGTAGTTATTTAATCATCTTCTATGACTGAGAATTTTAGTCGCTTGTTACTTGCGTGTACTACCTTGGCTGTACCTTGGGGGTGTTAAGCAGTCCTTGATTTGCTTATGGCTTGTAACGCGTGCAAAATTCCCTTTTTTCCTTTCTCCGAGGCTTGCTCTGTTTTCCGTAGGTATGTCCTTCGCTTAGTGTTCTATAGTCAAAACGATAAACACAAGCATCTATGCTGATTATATTGGCAGTTCCTGGGCACCTTAACCTTGACACTTCACTTCTCGGTGATTTGAGGAAGATATAACCGCGACTTTGTCTTACTCAGTACACGTTTTTGTTGTTGTCGTTGATGCTGGTTATAGCCTGTTTAGACGTTCCCCCGGAGGAGGGACGTCTGTACACAGGCTATGCTGGTTAAAGCTACTTGAGAGTTGCTGTTGTTTATGTACAGTTTGAGATGCCCTTTTTGCGCGTGCGTCGCGGCGATCAAAGTGAAAAATGCTTCATGCGTGTGTCAGTATACAATGAAACAGTTTGGTATCTGTAGCAACAGCCACTAAAAACTAAACTTAATTTTAGTCCTCAGGAGGAAAAGCAAATAATGACTTGGGAACCGAAATGATGCCTGCTTTTCGCTTTTCATTGATTTTAACTTCACGATTCAATACTAAAAATTACAAGGACCTTGATTAAGGTAATGAAAATTACAGGAAATGTATAGAAACAGCTATTGCACTTGGAAATCGGAAACAATATTTTGTTTTTCTAAAAGATTCCACACACGCGCATTGCGAGCTGGCCTGGGCCCGGTTGCATAAAACGCCCGTAACTGTTACGGGTATACGTACGTGTACTCGTAACTTAAGTGAGTTGCATTAAATCACTTACGTGGTTCACTTAGGGGTTTCACTTAAGTGGCTGCACTTACGATTTTCGTAAGTATCCACTTAAGTGTCATTTATCCAACAGAAATTGCGGGTGTTGCATAAAACTTTTTTTACGGGAAAAATGGCAAGTAAATTTACGGGACCTATGTAGGTCCCGTATCCTTACTGTTTCTACTAAAGTTAACGAGATCTTTCACTGAGAAGTGAAAAAAAAGTTTTTCATTTAAGGGACTGTGCAATAATTATCAGGAGGGGGGCTGAAAAACTGGAGGGGGGGCATTACATAAAATTTCTGCCAAGATAGGGGGGGCTCCAAGTAAAATCACTCATTTGACGGAGGGGGGGCCTTAAGTTTTATAGGAAATGTAAATAGAATTAAACGCAATAAAAGATTCTCAATACAGGCATCATGATAGACTGTAACAAATATCAACACGAACAGCTGTTAAACGATTATTGAAAATATTCCATCAAAATGAAAAGCACATTCACAACTGATCAATTTTAACCCGTCTTCTAATTAATTGAGCTGATCCTATGTAAAGCAAAAAATCATGAACTTGTTTTTCAGCTTCCCCCACAAAACAATGGGAATCAAACAGATCTCGTAGACAAGCTTTGTCGGTTTTTGTGAATAAAAGTAATGTTTCTTCATCGACTGAATCGATTTTCTGAATTCCATATATATATGTGGTTCAAAACAAAGTTCAACAGGCTCTCCTCCCAAGGATCTAAATATAATGCAAGCTCTTTTTCGATTGTTATTTGAAGCGTTCAATCTCCTGTTCTTTGATTTTTTTCTCTGCTCCTTTCTCTTGAGACAATGTGGTAAGCACCCCGGTACTTAGCAAATGCTTTGTCTAAATCTTCAATCAAGCGATCAACATCCTTCTCGATACTAGATGTTACATAATAACGTTTGTCATTATTGAAGCTGTGATGGCAGCTCAGTCCAGTTTTGAGTTTACCAGTGTGGTCGGACGGGGGGGGGGCGACGTTATTTTTAACATAACAGAGGGGGGGTTAGAACTAATTTTTTTTGTTTTGGAGGGGGGGTACTGTCTAAGTTTTTGCTAGATAACTCTAGTTTTTCAGCCCCCCCTCCTGATAATTATTGCCCAGTCCCTAAGTAATTCCGTTCTAATGCGCTTTGTTAACCTCTGATGTTCACTTTATTTAAAGCCGTCTTACAGAAAAAAAGTAGAACATCCAACAAACATTATCAGTAAATATTCTTGTAAAATAACGATGGCATGCAAACGTATTTCAACGAAAGTCAACGGACTTGATGAGTTGCACTCATAGGATATTAAAATGTCAATCTTCTTTCCTGAATGATCTGAAAATATTTAAAAACTGTCATCAGCTTCAATAGATTATAAGGATTGTGAAAAAAAAAACAAAAACAAAAACAAAAAAAAACGAAAGAACAAATTCCTGACGTTTTTTTCGACCCTCTTCAGTTTCATTAATGTCGTCTTGGTACCCTTCATCAGCATTGCTGCTGTCGCCCGTAGCTTCTTCTTCATCATCGTTTGGAAAAACATTTCTACATTTCTAGGATGTCAATGAAACGGAATTCTGAAGATGAGCAAGGCTCTAACCCCAGAAAAAAAGCGCCGAATTTTAAGCCGGATAAAATCGCATTTTTTTTTCTCCATGAGGTAAAAAGGAGAAAGATGACTCTATTTGGTACTTTATCTCCTACTCTGACATTTATATTAAAAATGCAAACATGGTTGGAGGTTCACACAGCTAGTATAGCCGTCGGGTTCCCACCAAGAACCAAGGAACAACTTAAAAAGAAATGGGAGGACTTGTCGTCAGCCACTAAAGCCAAATACGCCGAACGAAAGAAGACTGGGGTGCAGGTGCAATAGAGTGGACTGATGGTGACGAGCTAGTCACCGAGATACTCGGAAAAGAAAATCCCTACCTCGTATCTATAGTTGGTGGAATAGACTCTGGGGATAATATCCAAGCCAGAGAACACACCCTTGATGCTTTAAGTGGTGCCATTGAAGAAATACAGCCTATCGTCAACTACATCGTACCTGCTAGTAGGCCCAGATAGGGTGGTTGAATTAGACTGTGGCTAGAGAACTTCGGAGAAGGAGTAAGAAGAGAGCCGTTTAAGGGAAGAACAAACAAAATAACCAAACTGTACCTGATTCCGACTCTGTTAGGGAATAAGGACATAGAGAAAGGAACATTAAGAACATATATGAAGAGCATTTAAAAGAAGAGCATGATTTCAAAATGAGAACTCTAAAAAAGAAGGAACAGCGGCTTGATCTTAAGTTGCAGTTGTTTAGACGAAAACTTAACATTAACAAGTAGTTTAGAACCTGTGCTGATATTACATTAATAAAGTAATTTTTATTATGTCGAAACTTCTCGGTCGAATAATTTTTTTTTCGTTAAATGATGACACACTTTTTTCTGTCTATATAAAACGTTATCTCAACCGGCTGAATTTATCATCTAACAGAGGCTCAAGAGTGTTCGAAACGACCAGCTAATTTCTTTACACCCATCGATGGTTAGCTTAAAAAAATAGAGTGGGTCACTAATAAAGTACTCCATCAAAGTTACGTTACCTGTACCCTTATGTGAGCCCGTAAGTAACTACGTAAAACAGAAACTTACGAGAGTGCTAAGTGCGTTCCATGCAACACCCGTAAGTGTGTCCATAACGGATTCGTAAGTGACCTACTTAAGTGAGCACTTAAGTGCAGGTTTTATGCAACCGGACTCTGGTCCACTCCCAAGTGAGGCTAGACTACGAGTAGTCCCCATTTTTCCTAGCCTACGAACAGCAGGCGCATTTCCGGTCGTCGCTTCTCTCCCTCCGAAAATAGCTATTTTTCGGAGGGAGAGAATCGACGACCGGAAATGCGTGTGCTGTTCGCAGGCTACATTTTTCCAGGGATAGTAGAGCGAGCGAAACAAGAGTGCGTGAAAATCATCCTACGCGAGAAAGGCGTGGGACTACTCGTAGTCTAAAGTGAGGCTGAAGGGCGAATAACAGGAAAAGCGTGTAGAATGAGGCGAACCAAGCGGGGTCCTCGACTCACTTCGTTTGTCGAAGTTTTATATTTGTGCGTTTTTTGGCGTTATTCAGCCCAACACGAAGCAGACGTGGAGCTCGAGGCACACGCTACTGGCTATATTTTCCCTCCCCCGCCGCACGTGTTTCGCGCTCCACGTCTGCTTCGTAGGCGAAGAAATGTATTAATGAAAAAAATGTCAATGACGGGTCAACGTCATCTGAGGTCTATAAAAACGGGTGTTCAGTGCTGCTACTAAAATACTTCGTTTTAGAACAACTAATAAGAGGAAGCTGGGCAAACGATCGAAGAGGGATGCCTTCACGCCTGGACTTAATTTTCTGTTTTCTTTTTTTGTTTCCAGAGCAACGGTTTCATCAGCGTTGTATCGAGTGTTGCTATAGTGATGACATTGTGTTGCATCAGCTTGGACCGATATATCGCAGTCACCAGACCCACACGTTACAAGACCATTGTCACGGTCAAACGCGCCTGTTACTCCTTGATTGTGGTCTGGGGACAAGGGTTGCTTTACGCCTCTTTACCTCTCTTTGGATGGTCCAGATACCAGTATGACGAAGGAACTTTGCATTGCTCCCCCGTCTGGACTGCGAATTGTTCCCTGTATATTTTCTTAGCTATTGTTGGATTTGGTATTCCTATAATACTCATGATCTTCACGTACATTCGCATATTTTTTGTCATTCGCAGACACACTCGAAAAGTTTCAACGTTGCGCAGAGCAAAAAATTTAGGAAAGAAATCAAGCACTTGTAAATTAATATCACTGTCGCAAAGACATAGCGTTGATCAAAACCAAAGTCCCAATCTCGAAATGAATGGGAGGTTGTCGTGTTCTACAGACAAAATAATCCACCCAGTAGACGAACAAACGATATTTAATTCCAACATGGAGATTTCATCGTTCAACAATTGCTGCAAAGAATCAGGGTTGAACAAAATACCGTCAGCAAAGGCAGAAGTCCCTTTTGAACACGAAGGACAGAAATGTGCAATTCAAACTGAGCCTGCATCCGAAAACACCTGCAGTGAATCTTCAAGTAGCGGTAAACGTGGATCGATGCGCTTTGGCGAGGTGCTCAGAAAGTATTTTCCGCGAAAGCCACGAAACACAAACAAACGACCGCCGTCTAGGGAATACAAAGTCGCTAAGACAGGAGTTCTCTTGCTGGTTCTGTTTATCGTTCTCTGGTTACCGTACATGGTCGTGCACATATGCTCTGCGAGATTCAAAGCGCCGCAAGTTGTTTTTCGTTTCTCGATGTGGCTCGTGTTTATGAACGGAGTTCTCAACCCAATTGCTTATGCTTTCGGCAATTCTACTGTTAAGATGAAATTCGAGCAAATATCTTCTACGATTTTCACTTTTTGTTGTAAGTGTCGAAGAAAGAAAGGACGAGAGCAGCCAAATCTCAGAATTTCGGAAACGATCTGAAGTCTGGTCTCACGTACGGATTTGCAATCGTCATTTCACCATCCATCATCCTCTGACTGAACAACTAGATACTGTAAACTTTCGTAAAACTGATAACTTTGTTTGACGTCGCTCGGATATAATCTTCTAATGTAACCCCGCCTTGCGCTTGTAACGTCTGCGAAGCAGCCCTGATATCCTTGCTCTGGGGTGCTTACCATTTGACAGAAAAATCCGGTTGGGGTATCGAAAGCATAATGGTAAGCGATTTGCCAGTTTACGGTAGAGATACCACATCCGGATCCGCTACGGTTTGAATCCAAAACAAGGGCGAATTTGTGTCGCGTGAGTCAGGAACCGAGAAGGAACTGAGAAACCAGAGGAAAGTACTGTTCAGTAGCGTTCGTTTGAATGGTCATACCACTGGATTTCATCCACAGACTCAAAAGTTAGAATCACCTTGTACAGCATAATTAACAGTACCACAGGAAAGTACCACTCAGCAGCTTTTATTAAAATGGTCACATCATAGAATTTCATCCACAGATTCAAAAGTTGGAACCACCTTTTACAGTATGATAAACAGTACCACAAGAAATTATTGCTTAGTAGCTTTCATTTGACGTTTCACACCAAAGGATTTTCCCCACAGACTAAAGAGTTAGTCCTTCCTTTAACCCTTTCACTTTCAGAGTGTTTAATGGAGTTTTGTAAGGTGACTCTAACTTTTGAGTATGTGGACCAAATCCTATGATGTGACCATTCAGATGAAAGCTCTCTGCCTGTACTTACACATGGTGATATTTGTTTGTCAAAATTTTACAAAATGAAGTTTGGAAATTTGGTCGAAATTTGCCTTTGGACACATTTGGCGGTGAAAGGGTTGATGTGTTCATAATTGACACATGGAGCTCATGAAAGGGGTAATAGACCCTCTCATGGTATTTTTCAACTTTTGACATAGACAAGTTAGGGAAAATCTGTCGACACCACTAGACTGCAAAACAGTCGGTTTTTTCTCAAAATCAGTGAAGAAATCGGTAAAGCGTGGCGTAAGAGTCCTACGTGCGCGAAGCGCGCGAGCCCCACACGCCCTCAGTCTCGCTTTCTGTTTTCAGCCTCGTTCCAGACCTTTTGTTTGACTGCTCGCGCATACTTGAATACTGACTGTTTTGCAGTCTACGACACCACTGGAAAGGGAAAGAGCGCCAAATTGCCATGTTTGAAAGTGAATGGTTAAAAACTAGCAAAGATATTGCTCTTCAAAGTCACGAAATCTTACAGACGTTTGCATGGCGGAGGCACAAACTTGCTCCCTACCATAAAAACCTCTGTAAGTTTTATTTCGCAACATTTCGGAGTTATATCTTCGCTCGCCTAAGGCGTATCACTTTCAAATTTAGCGATTTTACTAATTTAAGGCGCTCTTTCCAGTGGTGTCGACAGATTTTCCCAAACTGGTCCATGTCAAAAGCTGAAAAAAACCGTGGAAGGGTCAATTTGTGAGGCTGAATAGAAATGAAAAAAGAAAATGTTCTAGATGATTCTCTCAATCTGATCCACTTGCGCAACAAAGTTATTTTAGTCTAACGCTTTATCAAGAGATCGAAGCATTTCTGAAATCTTTTACTTTTGGATAAGTGACGTTTAAACCTCTTCAAGAAAAATTATCAGTTAATTAATTTATCTGCTTTTCTTAGTTTTTTTTTTAGCGCTTTAGGAAATAGCCATAACCTATATATCTTAGAATCAATCTTATAAAATCAATAAACAAGACCCTTTTACCCCATATGCACGTAATCCGCCAGGCATTTTTCGTTTTATCGGTTTGACTTTTTACTTTTCGTAATTTCCTTAATTTTATTTTGTAGTTGAAATTCCCTTTCTTACCAGCATCCAATGTCTTGCTTCAGTTCTGAATGACGAGTTTTACGTTCAATTAAACAAACAAAATTTTAGCTCCTAGTTTTAATTAACCTCGATTCCACGTTGCCTGGTCCCTAGGCCACATTATTATGTAGCTGGGTCCGCGGACGGGCAAGACGGAACGCGCACTGTGTTCTAATTGGCTACCGGTGCGGGAAAAAAGCCCACTCGGGATTTCCCGCTTTGGTCCCGCAGGAAATTAAATAAATCCTTTACTGATCAAGTTGTAAATCCTCCATCTATAAATTAAAACACTCACAAATTTAAAAAGAACCAGCCATCTTGAAATTACGCTCAGTCAATAACGCATATTTATTCTGCGCGATCTATTCATTTAGTCACGTGGTCGTCTAGGCTACGACACCGATTCACCGAGTGTAGGTTTCCAAAGGAGAGGGCGAGAAAAGAGAACCTGGAAAGGATTTTAGGACATTTGCGAATTCAAAATCCCTCACCTACTAAACGAGGTTAAGTTTGAAACCCAATGTGAAAATGAGATTTATTTACTCGAGAGAAAAATCCTGTCGATATCAATGGCTTTGCAATTACGCTCGTTTTGAAACCGAGGCTTGGGGCGACTCGGAAATATGGCTTAATGTGAATCATGAAATTGATTAATTTCCAGATAGTTTTCTCCCATTACTAATTAAGGAATTTATCATTCGCTTAATACAATAATCTACGTGCCAGTTTATTATCAGCTAGGAAAGGTGGAACTTGTTTATTTTGTTTCACCCTGTTTTGATAACTTCCTTGCAAGATTTCCTTTGTAGTGTAATGGAAAAAAGAATATGTGACGATATTTGTCTTGACAAAGACTAATACCATCTTTTTTAAATATTAATTTGGTTTTACGTGTGTCGATTTATTTTTCCATTTTTTGCTTTGACTTCCGTTTGCTTAGATATTTTATCCGAAACTTGTCATATTGTTGTTCAAAATCTGAAAGCTGTCATTTAACGGGGTAGATAAACTAAGCCAGAATTTTACCGCCTCAGGATTCCTCGCTATACCTAAACACACATGGTGCAAAAAATGTTAGCCTGCGTAGCAAGTTAGAGCGAGAGCAATGGCTTGCTGCGCAGATACAAAAAGGTGGGCTGGCAAAAAGAAAGCACTGTGTAGACCTGTGTGATATTGAAAACGCATTCATGGTCTAAAAAGAACAGCTAAACGGATCGTTTAATTTTTTGTAATTTTAGTATGGAATTTAATTCTTCTACCATAAAATGAATAATGAAAACGGCTTTAAAACATAAATTCCGAAAGCAACATGTATTAGAGCTGTCGAAATTATTAAACAGTAACCTATACGAGTTTATTTTCATCAGGGATCGGAGAGCAAACTATATACGTCAGCAAGGCTAGCAAACTCGCGTTTCGCCGGCTATACAGCTGAATCCGAGTGCTCAAGATCAGGGACTACAGTCTTTCACAGTACTTAAGTCTAAATTATAAACCATTTGTGATTACTTCTAAGGGTATATGAATTACAAATGTAATGCTGCCGCACGTAAACAGCTTGATCTAACTAATATTTTCCGCATTGTAGAATACATATTTTAATTTCTAAGAACTTTACTTGGAAGGCCAACCCTTGAAAGTTTTATACTCCGAAATTGAAAACTGTTTGACAAATTTTTTATGATCAAACCTTTTAAACCAGCGAACCTGAATCAATATAGTTCGGCCAAGTCGTTTTACCTAGGGGTGAAAATTAACCCCACTGTCCCTGTAAGCAATTCATTTTGTGAGTTTTTAAAAACAAGATCAGAGCGAAAAAAAAAGCTTAATCAAATGAGTTGTTGAGTAAAAAGCATGAAAAAGGATTCACTAATCCTGCCTTCAGACCCGGTTTACACGGGTTTGGACACCTTTTTTTACCTTTTTTTTCAGACCAAAGATTGAAAAATGAAAAAAACTGAGATGAAAATTCTAGTACAAAAACTTTCACACTGTTCTTTGCCGTTCAAAAACTTGCACGATTCCGCGAGTCACACTGTACGAAACAAGGGATTCTGGGTTGCACGTGGATGTAAAGTGGTCGAGCTTCGCCATTGGTCAAAACACGTGAAAACAGACAGCACTTAAAGACAGACCAAGAAGAGCTCTCTTGAATGAAAAGCGCTCTTGGATTCGATAAGGATTTTAAAACGTCGAGCTAAAAGGGAAATTTTGTTTTTGGTTTTATCGTCTGTCTGGGTTTCCGTGATATAAAAAAATCCCCGAGATCACAGATTGTCATGTTTTGGCTGCGACGAGCGCGACAGGTTTTGATACATTTTTTTGTCAGGTTATTTGGTAGTTAAAAATCTCTCGGAAACTGATGTTCGCGGAAGTGATTGACGACTGAAATCAGAAAAGACAGCGACAGGCTACTTACTTGCCGCAACTGTTTGTTTGTTTTTATTTTAACAACTTGTTACTTTGACTGAATAGAGCAGTGAAATTAATCTTGTGTGTATTGCAACCGATGTTAAGTGAGAGGTAGGTGTAAAAACAAATTAACTCGGCGTCCGGATAAAATAATATACTAAGACAGGCAGCTGATTGGACGATGAAATATTCATGCCTGGAGATTTAACACGTTTTATGAACGATAAATCTTTCTAATGGGAAGTTATTCTAATCGAAATCAATCCGGCTGTAGCTAGCAAAGTGAAACATTTACCCAGCGACGCCCTTGGGCAGAAAAGAATTTGTTTCGCTCGATTTGAAACACTTTCCGACCTTATACTTATATACATTTATCCTTTCAAAGAGCTTAGAATATTCAGTTTCACCAAACTAGTACATATTTAATCCTTCGAAAATGAACGCGGAGTATGGAAGTGGACAAACCGAGGAGAGTCTCTTTACTTCCGCAGCCATGAACACATTACAAGAGGTTCTTCTGGTCTTAGTGATAGTTTCGTCCATCGTTCTAAATTTTTCCGTGGTGTTTGTCATATGCAGGAACAAACATTTAAGGATGAGAACTACAAATATATTCATTCTTAACCTGGTACTTTCTAATGCCTTAATGGCAATATTTGTCATGCCGCTCAGCTTGGCAGCGTTTATTCGGTTGGGGTGGAACGTCGATTCTGTACTCTGTAAGGTAAGTAAATAACATTACGATAAATCCCTGAATTTCTAAAATAACTATCTGGTCATTTCCTATACCAAAAGGAAATCTTAAATAGAATTTAAATAACTCGAAATACAGGTGGGAAATTAAATTTTATATCACTCGCAATTCTTAGCAGTCGCATGAATTCCGGTTTACTAGTTGCGGCTCTGATGTGCTTGTCGACTTTTGTTATCATCGAAAATGACCTGGGAAAAGAATTTTGTTGATGAAAAGAATACTGTACGTGATTTAAAGCGGACAATGCCCTGATGGTTCTAGTGCCAGCCGAGAGCTACACAAATCGAGCGAGAGTATTTTCATTTCGCCATAGTAACTGAGTCAATGCCTGGCGAGACTTTTACTTTATGACTTACAACATTGTAGAAGGCTTTCTTTAAATATTAAGTTCCGTTCTGAATTTTCGCTAGCCGGCAAGACTGTACTTAGACATCAATTCCTTTTACGTGTCAAAATTTGCTCAAAACTGTAATTGACCTTGTTTTTGATAACTCCTACTCTTGAAAACACAGTAAAATTGATCGTATGTTGGAACAATTAACATGTGGGTCTCTTGGAAAAAGCACTTTACACCATTGTTTAAGGTTCAAAAACTCGTCGTGAACATTTATTTGTTTTACTATGGAAAAATAATTTTGATAACTCGCAAATAAGCGCAATCGTTTTTGACGAACCATATCATATTCTAATTATATCAACAGCAAAAATAGTCGACATCATTTTCACCTTTTTCAAGCAATTGTACTAATATAAGCGCCGAACTGACATCGGCATCGTTTTAAATATGATATAGAAGTGGGCAATTTTATTTCATGTTCGTGAATTTAATTTAAATTTGTTTCTTCGAATAAGACAATTTTAACAAATTGCCTCATATTAAGTGCATTATACAAAGAAAAAAATTAAAAACACAAAGGAATACAAGAGAAAATGAAAAATGGTTGGTTAATAATAGGCCCATTCATAGGCCGAAAAATAAGACACGTATTCTGAGGTGGGTTTTAAATGAGGCACCCACGCAAACTGTACCATTTTTCTTTCGAGTATATAAGCTGCGTCTTAGCTACGTCGACAAGACTAATTTTTTTTGTGCCATTTAAAGGAGAAGTTCACGTCTTACTTACAACGAAGCGTCCTTTTTTCCTCGTATCAATGGCCCTAATAATATCTTTTTGTAGTGGGGGGTAGATCGTGCAACTATAGTGAAATTATCACTATTCACCAAGACGGCAAAAACTATCAAAGTATATTCTTTTATAAAAAAAATATTCCGAGTGAAAACCGCAGATATTCAGATTTCTTCGTCTAGATAACGTTAGGGTCAGGATCTGCAAAAATATTCATAATTACAAATTTTGTAACAAACGAATTTTATTTTAAGCATCGGCGGCGATGTTTTGATGCATGTGTTCAACAGATAACGTGTCAAATGTTTCGCCATCTATTGCCAAAGGAAACGGGAGTGAAGTAGTTTTGTGAAAGATAATTCCAAATCGTAATGACGTTTGCTGCAGGGTTAATAGGACATCAATGGTTAAAATATTTTAATTGAATAATATGGATGGAAATATTGTAGGTTAAGATAACATGCGATCGATTGCAAATGATATGATACAAGTCACGTTTTCTGAAACGTTGCAAATCTAATTTCACTTACGTCCCTTGCAGAGAGGAATAAATTAAGACTCTGCCGAGTTTGGGAGAAATATAACCAGTGTTTGCTTGAAAATAAAATTAGGCTTGTTTAGTAAAGAATCCCTCGGATTTACTTAACCGTTCACTACAAAGCATAAAGTTCTGAAAGTTAACTTGCCAAGGTGACGACGATGGTTTTGGAAGCCATCTTGACGAGTACGCAACCTCTTGAGAAATTAAAGTAATTGCATGAGAATCATATAATGTCGAATAATTTCCGTAAAAACGGCTGTTCTGAAAAAATATGAATTGTAAACTAAAGCTGCAAAGCAAAGGATTTTACAAACAAATTTTGGGAGCCGTAACTGTGCTTAAATTTCTCCAGACGCTTGCTTTAGATTTTCCATATATTTTTCTGCAATTTTTCCCGAGAAATGTTAGTCGGCATTGGGAAGAAAAAATTTTACAGACAAATGTATAGAAAATTTTAAAAAGTGGCACGTGATTCAAGTGCATGTAGCTGAATACAACGCCCTCAATTTTTTTCAGTAGAACTGTTAGGAGTGAAGCCTTAGTTTATAATTCATATTTTTTTCACAACAGCCGAACGAAATTATTCGACATTAGATTCCCATACAAACACAATAATTTCTCACGTGGTTGCCTACTCGCCATGATGTCCATGGTGGCTTTCAAAACTGTGATAAGGTCTAACAAGGCAGTTCTAGTTTCTAGTTTTTTAGCCTCGACTCAGGCAACGACAAAAACCTATGCAAGGAGGAGGGGTACTGGGAGCAACTTTCAATGCCTCTAAACGTCGACGGTCACGTCGCTTAACCACAATGAATCTTTAATCTATGAACCCTAAACAAACACCTACCTGTAATTCAGCAATGATAAAAAAGGCCATTTGCCTGATGGTGTCAAATTACTACTATGAACAGAATCATTTTCGTTGTACCTTTTATATTGCAATTCGGTAGTCCCAGCAAAGTTTAAATATCAAAAGTTGTAATTGCAGCAGAATACAAAATCCTGAAAGATTCTGGTCGTAGTAGTAAAATGAAGTAATTGTGCAAGAAGCCTATTGTAGTTTTTGGCAGGAAAAACCGTGAAAACTAAATGAACCATGAAAACCAGACGACATGTCGCGACGCTACCAGCGGTTTCCCCGCGAGAAAACGTCTGAGAAACGAGCGCAAAGATTCTATACTGATGACTCGTCACCACACAGATCTGGTTAGTGCTTCTGATTGGACGTGCCGCTTGTGAAATTTGCTTCAACCAATCAGAAGATCTGGGTAGTGACCCGTCATCTGTATGGAATTTTTGCTCTCGTTTCTCACGCGTCATTTCGCGGGGAAACCGCTGGTGGCGTCGCAAGTGTCGTCTGTTTTCTCAGGCTACAGATGAGTCTGATTTGTGCTACTTTATCTTTCAGTTCAACGGTATGTCCGGCACAACACTCTGCCTGGCTTCCATTTCAACTCTGTGTTGCATAAGCGCGGACCGTTACTTCGCTGTGGTGCGCCCAATGCGTTATAAACACGTGCTGACACCCAAGAGAGCCCTGTGCATGTTAGCCCTGGTGTGGCTGGTTTCCCTGTGTTTCTCTTGTCTACCACTTATAACAGACTATGAATATCACGTTGGAACAAACAACTGCTCCCCTGCCTGGCGCCGCAGCTGTGCTTTATACGCTTTTATGACTGTCTTTGCGTTTGGAATGCCTTTAGTCATACTACTCTCTACATATGGAATGATTTTCTCATCCATACGTCGACACACCAAGAAAGTGTCCCACTGGAGAATTTCCTCCAGCGGACATCATGGGACCCGGAACAGGGAGGTGAGGGGATCCGATCCCACGTACGACTCGTTTATCTCAAACTTAGCTTTAGACAAAGAAAATCAAAACCGCGTTGGAGTGAAAGTCGATACACAGTTGTCACCTGACAACACTCCGAATAACTCAATGCAAGATGTAAGAGGATTTGAGAGAGATGATGAGTTTAGAAACCGAAGAAATAATGATAGAAAATACCGCTCGCATTCTGCTGGATGTCCTCATATAAAACCGGACGAAAACTTTCTGCCATTTGTCATCCAGATGAAGGCAGCAGCAAAAACAAAAGATGACGAAGCGAACTCAGAGCCGCGGCCGCGATCGTGTTCGGTTAATCTGGAGTTTTCTGTCAGCGGAATCGTCCCGGGAACTGTGTCGGCGATGTTTAACGGTAGCAACGTGACTGATCATTCTGTTCCGTCGACAGCTAAGGCGTTAAGTCTAAGCTACACTAATGTTAAGTCAACAGAATCGAACGATTTGACGCTAACAGAGTGGCAGGAAATTTCTACCCAGCAGATATTGCGGGGGGAGTCACCGAGCGCGGACTTGAATGGTGAGAGAGTGCGCACGCACTCCATAAACGTAACAGTAACAACCGCCTCTACGCCAGTGAATGAATTAGAAAATAACGTTCCAGGGACGCTGTCATTGAATGGGTTTATGTCACCAACGAATGAAGACTCTACTGATCTATTCCAGCGTATGCGAAAAGCTACTCTGAGCCCTCCACCGCCGACAAACTTTCACCCTCTGTCCTTTTCTAACCATCTAGAGCCTCCAACTATTGCCCTACCTACTCATGCGCAGTTCGTGAGAGCGAATTCACCAGCGCCTTCTTCGCAGAAAAACTATCGTTCCCGATCTCGTTCTCTGAGCTTTGAAAGGTCTTCAGAAAAATACAAGAGGAGTAAAAACTCGTTCCAGGCATCTGCCGTGCAAAAAATTGGCTCACCGCTTTTACGACTTCGCGCCATCACTCAGTTCAAAAGGCGCCTACGCGTGAGTGCGCTGCCTCGCGAGTACAAGATTGCTAAAACTGGATTCATATTAGTGCTGGTGTTCTTTTTTTCTTGGGGCCCTTATATGATGGCGCATAATTGCAAGTCTTCTTCCGAGACCCCGTTATGGGTGTACCGCGCCTCCATGTGGCTGGTGTATTTGTCATGCGTGTTGAACCCCATCGTGTATGCTTTGTCAAGTAAGCACATTAGAGTAGCTTTTACTGGTCATATGAAATTCTGTAAGAAGCTTGATTTCCGTAAATCAGAATCGCAGGCTACTTATCCAAATAATCAGATTTATTCGGCGGCATTAGGTTAACATGAGCTGTTGCACATGGAGCGATTAGCTCTAGACCCTCGCCTCTGCAAGCATTACCCCATCGATGTAGATTAAGGGGGAATTTTCGCACACCACAACTACAATGTCCAAGATGTGCATTAAATTGAGAACAAGAGTACATTGAATTAAAGATAAAGGTTAGACTATGAGACACATCGATGTAAGTGGTGTTGCGATCAGTAGTGAGCGCAGTATTGCGTGCACCAGATGGTTTCGTTGGTGGAATGGTGCGCCCAATATTCTTTTTCAATATATGATTGGGCACAGGGATGTGCGTGATGATGTGCGCGATGTTGACCGCAGTGTGATGTGTCATTATGTTTGCAATGGTGTTTGCAATATTCTGTGCAATATTACACGCGTGATGCTTAGCGTTCTATAGCATGTCATGATGCGCGCAGTTGTTGTATGCGATATTGCGCGAATTTATTTGCGTGGTGTTAAGATCAATAGTTTCAACAAGATTCCTGTATATTGTGTGCGACATTGTTTGCCCTGATTTATGCGATGGTCCACATGAGAAGGTGCACGTTGCGCGAGAGTTTGTGACGCTTTTGCACGCTTCGATATTACGATGTTGAACGCAATAATGAGCACAGCGTTAGTTCCCGATCTTGCTCGCTATACAAATGTATTTTGTAAGATAAGGTTTCGATACTTGCATTTCTTAATAAATTATAGTCCAACGTTTTTCATAATTTACTGACAAGGTAAACTAATTTATTATCAGTTACACACTCGCAAAAAAGTTGCATTAAAACTTTGAACACTTTTGTACAAAAACTATCTTCATTCATTTGCTCCCTACAAAATGCTAACAAAAATTTTATTCAATTACAGGTTGTTTTTATATCCGTGTTGCTTCTATTCTGTTATAAAAAAGAGGAATAAAACAATCTCAAAAAAACAGTCCCTTCAATGCTTTATGAGTGAAAGTACTATGAACATGTACGTGGAAATTATACCTTCACTTAAAAAAAACTGTTAACTTTTGATATAAATGTACGATCGTCTTGCTACAGGACCACAAGTGCAGTCTGACTGGGCAACAAATGCTTATTTTTGTGTTGAATGCCAGAGTTTTAAGTCCTATGTTATACTCTCACGGTTTAGTCAAACCTTTAGTATTGCCCCTATGTAAGGTAATCAAAATACAGTCTTGAATTCTGGATTCCATGCTTTGGATTCCGGATTCCAGGTACTGCATTCCAGATTTATATCTTGGATAATGGGGATTCCTTTTCAGTGGGTTCCAATCGTTAGCGCAATTCCAGAATCCTTAAGCTGAATTCCAGATTCCAAACTCCAGGATTCCAGATTCTACAAGTCTAAATTTCTCTAATTCTGGAACCCAGATAACCTTACATGAGGCAATTTTGAATCGGAATCCGGGAAAATTTTGCTTGAGGAATTCGGAATCCTGAGCTTTGGAATCCAAGTTTCACTGACAAAGAATCCTGAATTCAGTAACTGGAATCTGGAATCCATGGCATGAAGTCCAGAATCCAAGACTGTCTTGGATTCCCTTACACGGGGCGAAGTATCTATGTATCTTAAGTCTTCCTGAACATTAAACTGCTTTGGTAACGTGAGAGGGGAGAGTGAAACCAAGGTCTCAGTAATCTGTCACGTGGTACTTTGATTGATTTACTGTCCACCATTTTTCGTGGTTCCACATTGTTCAAACGCTCTGTAAGAGAAAAAAAAGTACAGTCAATTGCTCTTCTTGCACAGGGGCTACTCTATTGCATTGTGACACCCCTGTCTGAGCTGTGATTCAAGTTTAGGGCCTATATGTCACACTATTTGCCAACTTTTTAAAAAGCTGAAGTTGTCTTTGCATCAATTGAAAATCCAGGGGGTGGGGGTTTCTAAGTAAAATTCCCTCTGTGGTGGGGGTCTGGATATTTTCTGGAACCATCCACCCATTTGACAAAGCTCTCAAGAGTGTGTCTGCTCTTAATAAGTTTATCATATGATAGCTTTTTCTCGTAAATGACCAGCTCTAACTGAAACCACTTTTGTGAATTGAGACCCAAGGTGGTCACTTACAAGATCTCTGTCTGTGTTATTCTATAATACAGAGCACTGAGGAGTTACGTTTGACTGTGTCGGTGATTCCAGTTAAAAATTATTCATAGCAGGGCTTGCTTAGAGTACCCTGCAAGCAGAGGCAATTCGATCTTCCTAGGTAAGCTCCAAGGGCCTCTGCTCGCATGGTCAATGCAAACAAGTTACCAGTCTGACCGTGAATCATCATCCAAAAACTACATTCAGCAATGAATGTACTCATATCACCTGAAATGCCCTCCCCAGCATTGCCTAGTTTCATATTAAGACAGGCTGCAGGGGTACAAGTCGGTGTGTTATGAGATAAACAACACTCGACCCATATTATGTCAGAAAGAGCACATTGAGGTTATGAAAAAGATGTTAAGTTTGATGTCGATCAAGCCAATATTGAACAAGATACAGCTATTCAAAAACTTGAAACTTGAGAGAGAGATGTATGTTTTGGATTGTTGAACACATCCTCTGGACGTCCATAAATTATTTCCTTTAGTTAGTAAATATTATTTTGGAGTTTTTTGAATGGCTGTACCTCGATCGTTCAATATCGACCCGATAAACGCCAAACTTGAGAATGTTGCTAATTTCAATATGCCGACTTTCTGACAATATGGGTCTCGTGTTGTTTATCCCATAATAAACTAACTAGTACCCAGCCCCTCTCAATATGAAACTAGCAAATGGAGCATCAAACAAGGGCAATTTGTACTGACAGGAATCAAGGTCAAACATAACTCCTCTTTACCCATGGGTTTCTTTGCTACAATTACGGTCAAACCTTGCTTTACAGACAACTGCTTAATACGGACACCTTGTTGTTATGATGGACAGTTTTCCTTGTCCCAAGCCTTTAAATTTTCTCTAAATTTGACCTGCTTAATATAGGGACACCCCCTTAATATACACACTTTCTATCAGCCCCCTCAGTGTCTGTATCAACAAAGGTTTGACTGCACTGACAGTAAGAAGAAGAAAACACTGTTTTTTTGAACAGACTTGTAAACCCCCAAAAGGCAAAATATGTGAGATTCTGAAGCTAGAGCTGGGAAAAGATTAGTGAGAAATGGATAAAAAGTTGTGAGATTTCCCAAATTTCCTAGTGAAAGGACTTTAAGTGGAGATTATGGGTATTGGAAGTCACTATCTCACTTTAAAAAAGCTGGAGCAGTAAACAACAAGTTCAATTTTTTTTTTATGGTGCCATCTAGCCTGATGCGCACAGACACTTTAACCCTATATCCACACTATATGTGATACGTGGGCCGAAGGAAGTCTGCACATTTGGTGGCAGTGGTAAGGCGCGGTAATCAAATGTGACCGCTAAGTGTTTTACATGTATCTGGGTGGAGCCTGCTATCTATTGATATCTAAACTTGAAAACAAACCTGATCTACAGCTCCAAAATTTTTTGGAGTTTGACTTTTTGAGAAAGTGTGAGAAATCCATTGCCAACTTGTGAGAGTGCGAGACAGGTGAGACTCAGGACAAAAAAGTGAGACTTGGCAAGTCTGTTTTAAATTAGTTTTTGTTATTTATCAGACTTACCTCTGTGGGTCAAATAAATACTTGTATCATGTGGTCCGTATGGATATTTAGAAAGCTTGCAATTCTATAACAGAAAAAAAAAGAAAGAAAAAATGAAATGAATGAGGATGTGAACCAGGTTGATTGTCTGCGGGAGTCCTCTCCCACTTCAGTGTTTGAAGTAATATATCAAACATGAGATGCAGTGTTTCATCACCAGATGAAACACCGAGAAGAGAGTTGAAAATACGACGCGCAGCGGAGTATTTTTGACGGACTTCGAGGTGTTCCATCTGGTGATGAAACACTGTGTCGAATGTTTGATATTTCTTCTCAAACAAAATCATTTTTGAAGGAGAAATTAAGGATGCAAATACTAAGCAGTGTTTCATCCGATTTCCAAGCACTCATTAAACATTAATTTCCTTTGTATTTTCTTAATGAATTATTAATGAGTTTGAGAATGCAAAAGGAAAATCATCTTGAATTCAAATATGGCAGTTCCTTGTATTAAAAGAGGACTCAAAATTCAATCACAACAACGACAACTTTCTTGAAACTTTCAATTTGCAGTCACCATGACAAAGCTTGTTGGTGGTTGTCATGCAGTTGGCAGCTCTTCAGATGCTCTGCCAATACTATTATTTTTGTCAATTTTTATGGAAGTTCTAATAGGCATACATGTAGGAATTAGATACCTTATTCTTTATCTTACTAATTTTCGCGCCTACTTAATTTCGCGGATATATTTAGGGGCCAGATTTTGCGAGTACTAATTTTCATGATTGCAAAAAAAAAATAGAGATAAACGTACAAAATTTTGCAATTTTGTCTTTGTTTTTATCCTGAGCACAGGGCACTTGTCACAAATCAATAAAACATATATATTTCAAAGCAATATTGTAAACTTACAACTGCCCTACATAGAACCAAATGAACAAGACAAAACATGCTTGCTTTCTGTGTATTGAAACTGTCTATGCCCCCTCCTTGGTAGTCGAAAAAATTTCAAAGCCCCCCTCCTCCTTCATGTAAAAAGATATCATACAGTTCAGTGCTTTTCTAAATGAACAACTTTACTGAGATGTTCAGTAAACCACGTGATATATATAGCTGAGTTGCACAGTTCAGAAAACACCCGGACTCAGAACATTTTTAAAATTCTTGTTTTGGTTTTGAAAATGGTATTAAATTTAAATGAACTGTTTAATTTTCCACATAATTTCAACTTTGTTCAGTAAGGGTCATTTTTAAAATTCTTGTTTTGGTTTTGAAAATGGTATTAAATTTTGTGTGTTTAATTTTCACGCAATTTCTTTTGTCTGTGCGCATTAAACTTTGCGAATTTTTTAAAATCGCAAAAGTCGCGAAAATTTAATACGTGCAAAAATTACTAAGAATAACTAAGGTAATTTTGACATTGTATTGGTAGATTTTACAGCTTCCATGTTTTCTATACACGTAGCTTCACTGGTATGATTAACTTCCTTTCGTGATTTACAGCTTCAATTTCCTTTCTGAACTTGTTTCCAATTCGTTTGTTGCACACATCAGTCTTTTGTGTTTAGAAGGAGGCCAAATTGCCGACATCTCTCTCTCCAGCAAAATGTCTCTAGCGGCTCTCTCGAGTAGAAGGAGGAGAGACAGCTGTATTTATTGTCTAACTGACCGACAGTGATTTAGACAATTTAAACCTTATTCATGCCGCATGTACTACATACATATATGTGGCTGAGCCTATTGTCAGACTGAATTACTGCCCAAGAGAGACACAACGGAGCCAAAACCCACCTCCAAGATAAGGCCTCTGTTTTTCATATCTTGCGTCCACTGTGGTACATATCGCTGTGGGATTTGTGGATGGTGGCGTGACCAGACTGGTATACTATTAAATAAAAATAAAATAACAGTTTAAGGCTTGAACCAAGAGTGGGAATGACAAAGTAATGATAATTGTTTGAAGGTAATAAGAATGCATGATATAAGCTTGCATCAGCTGAACAAACCACAGTGAGATAGATCGTTAAAAAGCTTGCATGAAGAGAAAAACACACAGAACGATAATGTTAAATGCAGCTCAAAACATCAGCATTTGAGCCAGTAAGTAAACAATAAAGATTACTCTGCCTGTGCTAAAATGCAGTAAAATGCGGTTCTTGCATGCTAATGTAAACAAAAACTAATTCCTTGACAACTAATACTCGGATAATCAAAAACGCGAAAATCGAGCACCGAAGTTACCTGTGTCTTGCTTGAGTGTCTGTTGCCATGTCTTTTTGCCTACCCTTCTTCCCTTTTATAAAAAGTGGGAGGTTTTTTCGGCAAAAACTCTAAGTCGGTCGAGTTTCGAAGGACGCTTCTTCTTCGAGATGCTTCGATTGAAGTTTTCGAGGGATACTGGGTTCAACTTGTACCCAGGTTACCTCCGTTTATAACTGTTATCAGCCCTTCCTTGGGGGCGAAGGGAGAGGGTATTTTAGACGGGGGAGGGAGGGTGGAGAGAGTTTCAGGCTTTCGCGACCGAAGGAAGAGTAAACACGAGTCCGGAATAACATTTACTAGTTCTGAATTTTTGTTGCCATTTTCCCAAAAGCGTGAGCCTGTCCATATAACAAATTAACCATGGGCTTCAGGAAGAATTTATTCAGCGAATGTTAATCAAAGCTCAAAACCCGAAATGTGGTAAACAACTTGTTCTCATACCCACGTGCAGCAGAAACAGTCCAATCAAGTATTGCCTTTTTAATTAATGCAAGAAGTTGCTCCGCGCCACATTCAAAAATTGAAAACTTCAGAAGCGGCTGTTGCTGCGAGAGTGGTAACTTACGCAAAAGAACTAAGCGCTTCTCATAAAGCAGTGTATCTGTTTTTCTCAGCTTCACCACAAGCAAGAAAGCTAACTATGGACCGAAACAGTCCAGAAGAGTTCAGAGGTCAATTCGTGAGTTGTTAAAACCAGCACAGAAGGTACGTAAATTACTTGATATTGACCTATCGTCAGTTTAGCTGCAATTCGTACTTCGGCGAGTCCAACATATTAAATAAGTTATTTCGTCCCTCGTTCTTGTTTAAGGTAAACTAATTCGTTTTAAAAGGAGATATCACCAGTTGAAATGAAACCGTTTGCTCAAGCAAGATTACTCCGTGATTTCTGTGATTTTTACAGCCCCGTTTCGAACACGTGGCAGTCACTAATGAAATACCAGCAAAGAAAAAAACAAAAATTTCCGGGGAAAAACTTTCGGGTGTTCTTCCAAATTCTTTTTGGCGACCAAAAAAAAGAGTTAGTGTACAATACGACAAATTTGATATATTTTTTTCGCGGTTTATAACAACGAGACATTGATGGATTGACCTCACAAAATGAAGCCACACCATTTATCCAACCGAAGGCGTAGAAGTTTGAAATTTTTCATTTTGTATTCGATGTTCTAAAACAAAAATTTACAAGTTTAGCAGAATAGAGGAAAAAAAAAACATGCTCATGGGAACATGTGAACTCGCATTTTTTTGAATTTCGAACAACGTTTTGTAAACTGCCTTGCTCGCTTGTCTCTGCAGCCATTCTCTTTCAGTGATAAAACAAGAAAGACTTGCATGTACTTGATAGTTTAAAATGATGATAATAATAGTAATGTCCTTATTCGTTCTATAAAATACATATCAAACGTTACATAAATGATAAAAAAAGATTTTTTAAGGCCCTTACAGTAAGAATTTCTAATTACAAAATTAAACAGTCGTATATAATTAATTATTAGTATAGAATTGACGGTTTTATTGTTTATGTTGAACCCAAGGCAAAAATGAGTCACTTGCAATATTTAAAAGTGAATAGTAAAACATTGATCAGTTTTTGCATTTCTTTGTGGTTTCTGTTAGTTTTTGCCATGGAAATTTCGCTGACTTGATCTAAAACCAAGAAAAAAAAAACACCTACACAATTTGGGGACTATTTGCAATCAAAACTTTATTATCAGTGTTTTATCACCTCCTGTTATATGAATTCCATTACCTGGAGCTTACTCTGGCCCGAATAGCCGGATTGCCACAGAACGAGGGTTCCTACCATTAGGATGGGCAGGATGATTTACGATACTAAGTACAAATGGAAACGATTGGAAAAGATCGTGAGCACAGCTCTGTATCAGTTTGGTTGTTTTTCAGTCCTCTTTAAAGTTGCAACTGAATCCTAAAGGTTGCGTATTTCAGTATTATTTTGTCTCGTTTCTCTTTTCATAGCTCCTAGTGACGGGCTTGATTTTTCATCTCCTATCCTTCTTTTCAATTTTCAGACCTCAAACAGACCAGACCATCTTCCTCAGATAGACCTACAGATCAGACCATCAACTAGACAGCCAGACTAGTCAGACATCGGACCCGACCATCAGATCTGAACCCAGATCAGACCACTACCATCCGAATACCATACTAGACCGGCAGACTCCACCACCTAATCGATCAGCCCCTCAGAGCATACAGCCACCTTCCAAACCAGACCACAATCATTCTTGATTGCTCAGCTTCAAATCAGCACAGCACGCCCAATCTACTGAAATGGTACAGGTCAGGTGCTTTCCTTGTGGGTTGGGTCAAGGGGGGGTATATAGAGCTCTGGATGAACCTTACAAAGCATACTTTCCACACACCTTCGGCATGAAGTCAACGGACTTCTCATTCGGCTTAACTTAATTAAGTGTAGTTAGATTAGCTAGCGGGCTTCCCCGGGATGGTAAGGCCCTCCCCTTCCCTTTTTCATAAGCTGGGTTCCTTTGCAGGTGTTCGGTCATCGACGAGAGTTCGGCTTTTAGGAATCGGTTCGGCTTTTAGGAATAGGTTCGGCGCCGTCTTTTCATATGGACTTCACCGCCGCCGCCATCGTCGTCGTCGTCGTCGTCGTCTTCACTTCTCCCGCTTAGCTGCGCCAAATTCAACTTGTCAATTACACTTCACTTGATAGTCAATGCGCTGGGCAAGTGAAGCTTTCAATCGTAAGGTTCAACCAGACAGTGATTATTCTAAGATACAACTTAGTGAACTGGAGACCTCAGATCATTCAGCTGGAGCGAGAAGATCTCATTTGGTCATCGCCTACAAGCTTAATGACCTCTCTGGTTACAGGTAGATAGTTAGCTTAGCCTCGCAAGCTCGAGTCTGCTCCTACCAATTTGACTTTCTATGTTAAACAGTTCGGGTGCCAAGGGAAATTTTCTGATGCGCATTTGCAGACTTCGAACTTTTGAGAGTAGATAAGTTGACAGGTTTAGTCTTACAAAGAAGGTAATCTGCGACCAGGCGTTTCTTCCCGAGAAGAGTTGCGTATGCCTTGTTGCAGGTTACTAGGGCAATATGGGACAATCCACACACCATAGGCTAGATCGTTTACAAATCGTAAGCGTAGGAAGTCTTCGAGACCAATCTACGACGCAGTTTCATCGATGGAAGAGCACAAACAAGCTGATAGGCTTTTAGTAGAGTTGTAGTAGCCAGCGAAGTGGACACAAGAATGCTAATAGGCGAAATATTTCGGGGACACTCGCGTGGAGGCCCATCATACCTTTACGTGCGTGCCCCTTGAATGGCGTTCATGTGAAAACCTCGTAGGTTATAGACAGTCCTTCAGTAAGTAGCAGGAGAGGATACTCTGGCGTGGCATTGTTGACACTAAGACGATTTGATTTGTCTTCCTGTTAATTTTGCCTCGCTGGAGAGTTTTCTTCTTAGGAAGTCCTGCATTGCACTACGCAGGCACAGATCGTCTACAAATGGTAGGCGTATGAAGTCTTCACGTCGACCGTTCGTGGCTTGGTTTCTTGGCAGTCTTCGCCTGGAGTCGTTAGCAGTGTTCTATCTCCGAAGCACGTCTCGACTGGGACAGAACCCTAAGCAGCGCACTGTTTACTTTACTTTTTTCGGAATCTTGTAACAAAATATTTCTCGATCAAGTGATATTGTTTTGCGCACTGTTGGAAATGTGAATAAAATGTCTTACATTGTATTGTGTTGTATTGTATTGTGGGTCCATCGCTACATCAAGAGAAGAGGCCGGCCGAAGAAAGAAGAACAAAGAACATCGAGGGTCATAGTGAAAGATAGTCCAGTTACTTAAGTAGGCGCGGTAGCTGCCTTTGCGGCGATGCATGTGGAAGAATCACGTAAAAATGAACCAGATAATGATGATGATGATGATGACGACGGATGGCCATGACGGAACTACTTCATGATTAGGGAAGCAAGGTTAAATCGGAGCAGACAGCATATAGTGATAACTTTAAAGAGATGTCTTAACTAACATTGATATCCACGACTGTGTGTACTCTCCCTCCTCTTTCCAAGTGGGGACGAATTTAACAAATTCCACGCATAATTTGATTTTTATCTTATCTCGGATACCCTTTTCCGCAATTGTTGACGTCACTTTGTTCAATTTTAGTTGAGACAACTACTATAATAATTAATTTAAAAAATATATAATTGGCCGGCCGGACTTCATCTTTGGAGCAACTCCAAGTCTGCAAAAGTCATCATGGAAATGCAACCACGCCTTTTTTTCTGTTGGATTTTTGGTCCCAGTGTCATTGGTCTTTTGGTGGAGAATTGAAACATCACAGAGTACAGCAGCCCATATAAGGTAGGGCTGATCGATGTTGGTACAAACTTTGTGTAAAGCAGACTTGCGTGGTCTGGAGTAGCGTATGAAACAAATTGAATTGAATATCCGCGGCAATGTTGTTTCTGTGAGTAGGTACGTTCGTAACTTATGCAAACGTTGCACCACATCAATCAGCCCAAGTCTAAAACTACGCGTGGGACAAGGTATGTGGATTTTTGTTTTCGCGCTTAGATTTTCGATTCGGTCCATTCGGCGTTTTCTGGTTTTCGATTTGATTTTCGATCTGATTCCGGATTCGGCTTCGAAAAATGTGAAGGCTATGGTATCGATGATACGTCGATAGCAGGCCGTTAGATTTCCCTGCGTACCGTCCGGGGGACCCTGGTGTGTTTCATTCGAGGTGTCAATCACATTTATGGACACATGTCACACTCCTCGGTCTCCCTCGGACGCCAAATTCTCGTAGGAGCGCACCCCCCTTCAAACACGACTACTTAATTTGTGTAAACGGAGAACTGAATTCAATAAAAACAATTAAACTAATGAGTTGTCTGTGTGATTTTTTTCTAATTTTAAAACTAAAATGGATAGAATACGAATAGTTAATTATAAGTACTAACTAAGAATGATTTGATTTGCAGGGACTAACTTGTAATAAGGTCAATAAAAATATACCAAAAAACATAGAGCTGTGAGTGTCATGTCTTTATATAAATGCGCACATTGGTTGACTGAGTGTCACAGTGTGTTCTACTATAAAAACACAACTTACTAATTTTTCATTTCAGGTGCTTCGAAAATCAATTATTTTTTTCGTCTTTTTTGGACTCTACCGCCACTTTTTTCAAGCTGAATGGAGAGACATCCTGTTGGGTGCGCTCTCTCTGGATCGAACACGTTTTTTTACCGTACCGTCGTAGGGATTTTTTGGATGCGTTCTTGAAGAAACGCATGACACCAGCTATTCGGAAGATGGAAAAGATTGAAAGATGCTGAAGATAAGAGAAAAGGGATATTTTCGCTTTTTTTGGATGCGTTCTTGAAGAAACGCATGACAACAACTATTTGGAAGACGGAGATGAGAGAAAGGTGCTGAGGATGAAAGGAAAGAGATGTTTTAATTTCAAGGTTATTGTAATTTCGTTGTACGTAATTAAAAGCCAATGGAAAATAAAGTTTAACAACAAAAGGTATATCATCTGCGATATTTTTCTTTTAAACCAACAATAAATAATCTTACATTAGTTACTTAGATTTTGTTGTAATGGAGCTGTTTTTCATGATATGATCAGGAATGAAAAATAAAGGTTGACCAACACAATTTCGCAACATCAGTGTATTTGTCTAATAAACTGATAACAATTAGCTTAAGTTTTATTTCAGGAACCGCCTTCGAACGTCATCATATTTTTAATACTTTTCTTCGCTCGAAAGTAGCCTCGAAGACATCTTTTCATCGCGTCCTCTCACTGAAGATCAAGCAACCCAAACTGAATGATTGTTTGATTTTCAAGAAGCACGTTTTGGAAGTACTTCTGGCTGCGTTCCTGAAGAAACGCATAGCGGCACTGATTGCAACAAAAAACAGATTCGAAGCTCTAAATTATAAGGTAAGGCAGTTATTTATTACTTTTTGAAGGTGCTTTTACTGTTCAGTTATCTTGTTGAGTTTCAGGTTTTCCAGTGCAGGTACATCAACTACCAGCGGCCTAGCCACAAAGAGGTAAGCCCTACTAGCACAGGAAAGTCTGCGTCTCCTCTTGAGGGATATAGGATGCTGACCTAAACAGTTTCGTTTAAGGAAAGAACTGAGTACAAAGGCTGTTCAACCTTTCTCTAAGCTCTTGTGAAAAAGAAATTAGAAAACAAAACAAAACAAATCTAACGCTCCAAAAGGAAAAAAGACTGACTTATTTAAGTTTTAAACTCAGTTGCGTTCCTAATGCATCAATATTCTTTGCTCCATTGCCGGGATGCAAACCCGTGGTTATTTGATCTGATTGCTTCGTCAGTAAGCAAATCGATTTATGTGGAGACGAGCTGCACAGCTTGACGTTGATTTTCAGCTGTCAATTTGAACATTTTGCTCTGATAATCTTTTTTAGAAGCTTTTAATTTAGGTCTGTGCAATTCCAGAAGTTGTCCTATCAGCGACAGTCGTTACGTACGGCAGCAAATTTACCTGGTGATTTTGAATAAAGGAGACCCTACGCAGCCTCGTCTCCGGGCCAGTTCGCGCCACCCGACTGAGTGGAGGCGGTTTGGAACCAAGTGCGAATTCTCCTGACAAGACTTGACAGGTGACGTCACATCTGAAATCACCGAGGACGACTGGGAACCAGGCTGGACCACACCAGCAAGATCCAAGGTAAGTAACAGGATCGCGCACCCAAATGTTTAAAAAAGACTAAGAAAAAAACCCCTCAGATTATAATTCCAAGCCATGTCCTTTACTCGAGCTTCCTCCAATGATCATCCTACTGAGCTCTGCAAGATGAAAGTCTTGTTATAATGGAATACAAATTCACGAGGTCATTATGGCTCCTCTAGACAAAAACTCCAAGGAGGAACAGTCATTATGGAAGACAGAATAGAGTGCAGAAATTGTTTCTAATCACCTTAGAACACTTCTGCTTGAATCCTAAATCTCTGTTGTTTAGTACCCTTGCATTTAGGTCACAAAATACTTGATGTCAGCGAGCATGAAATGTAACCCGAGGTCTTGAACTGTTACTCGGTGATTTGAACGAACCCGCCTGGCAGATCATAGGTAAGTATAGGAAAAAAGGTTGAACAAGTTAAACAAAAGCTTACTAATAAAAATATACCAGAAGAGAAAACTGCTACCAAAAACAATTCATGGTCTTGACTCAAGTTTCCGTGAATCGTAGGTGGCCTACTAAACGTTACATAAAAAATTGCAAAAGAAAGAACAGAACTTGAGGCTTCCTTGGATTTTAAACCCGGAGACGTTGTTTAGCTGTTCATGTTGGTATGCACACTCCACAAAACAAAGGAAATGGCCAAGAGACAAGTTAGAAGTTTCAGTGCAATGTAAATGCAGGGTGCTTCTTTTGTACAAATGTGTTTCAGATTAGAACACATGCTCTCTTTCAATGGAATTCTAATCCATGAACGTTGCTTGATATATACTATAGCAAGCAACTACGAGGTACTACTGGGATTCGAACCCAGACCCTACTGAGAGTAGAAAAATATGTAACAGATTCCCAGTTGCTGAAGGATTATATTTTTTTGAGATGCTTAATCACTTGTTCTTGAGATGTGTTGTATTTTAGGTCGTGAAATTCCAGATGTCTTGCCTCAGTCGTCAGAGCTGCCGTCTTGAAGTCCGAGCCAGTGATGTGGAAAGTGATATGAAGAAAGCTGGTTAACTCGACAAAGGCAAGTAAAATGAAAATACAGTAAATTGTTTATAGCCCATTTTCTACCCAAAACTAGGCTGAAAAAAAATCAGGCTCGGATCCAAAGCATGAAAAAATTCTGAGTTGGAATTTTACAAAAAGAAAGGAGTGGACACAAATAGGAGGCTCACCTGTATGGAACTATATGAACTAAAGTGACATTAACTAAGAAAAATACGGAGTACAAGGGTTACCTCCACTTTTGTATGACAAAACTTTCACTTTTGCTTGCAAGTCTTGATTTCTTGGTCTTGAGAGATTTAAGAGCCGTCTTATGTAAAGAGCTAGAAGACTAATGTGAGGCCTGATGTATTGATTCTGATGATGTTGATGACGACCACGATAATGATAGTGCTGTCAATTGTGTGACGAGTCGATCTATGATTGTCATCGTAAGGTGCCCCGAAAGCATTACGAATTTTCTAATGACAGTGATATCCAGACCCAACTATCTAATTCAAGTCAAATGAGCTATAATAACAAAACAGCAAAGGCAAATGGGACTTGAATTTACTTGATTCCTCGGACTGACTACGCGTTTCGATCTTTCTCAGGAGATTTAAATGCTAGTGGGGGAGAGAACTAAAAATAGTTGTATGCAGACTAATGAAGCACATGAGATAATTTAGGACAAAAAAGGAAAAAATGGCAAAAGAGTTAATAAGCATAAAAAATGTAACAAAAAAAAAACAAACTTAGAAATAAGCAATAAATAAAAGAAAATAAAAATATCACTAAATCGAAAATAGAACAATAATAATAAATAATAAAATATTATATAATAGTAACATGGTAAATAAAGTAAAATAAGTAATACTAATGATAACAATAGCAATAATTGTCATAATGATAATAATAATAGAAAAGGAATAATTAAAAGCAACCAAAAATACTTTACTCATTTTTGAAGACGTAACTGCAAAAACTTTAAAGCAGCGACGTTTCAAAAATCATGCTAGCAGTATTCTTTATTTTCAAAAAGTATTTTTAGTTGCTACTTTTAACACTATTCCTTTTCTATTAATATCATTATAATTCAGTTATTATTATTATCATTATGTGTCATTTATTTTACTTTTATATCATGATTATAAAATACATAATATATACCGTGATGTATAAACATTTTCCTATTTTAAAATTTAGTTCATTGCTTCTATTTATTCATTATTTAAATCAGTTAAAATTGATTTTTGTTACATTTTTTAGAAGTTTATTCACTTTTTTGCCTTTTTTCTCCATTCTTTTGTACGTATGCCATTATTTTTAAGTTTCATCCCTATTGACCTATTTTACTTTCAGTTTTTAATTTTGTCTTTCAAATGTCCAACTGTTCCTCTTTCGTACTGTACAGTAATCACGGCTTTCCGTTAGTTTCCTGAAGAAAGATAGCTTGACCGTCTGAAATATCCGGAAACTTCAAGTCGCTTTTCTCTGTGCTGTTTTGTTATTATAGTTTTATAAAACATGCACTTTGACAGGATCAAGGAATGTGGAAAAACTAACCTTTCAGGGGCGGGTCCAGGATTTTTTTTAGGAGGGGGTGCACTCGTCTCCTGCTCCACTTCAACACCATTAAACCGCATAGTTGTTTTTTTTGCGGAATACCAGTTGTATTAGAAAACCACAGTTCATCTCGGGGGGGTGCGCACCCCCTGCACTCTCCCCCTAAATCCGCCCCTGCCTTGGATGATAAACGATCAGTTTAACTCTTGTTGTTCTTAACTTTATTGAGAGACATCTGGGCCGTGCAGTGGACGTAACAAGTTCGTGAGTAGCGTGATGAAGTATCCGTGATGTGCCGATGGCTGGACGACGATGCCGATTATAATGATGATGACGATCCTTTTGATGGTGATGATGACGATGACGATGATGATGATGATGATGATGATGATGACGATGATGATGACGATGATGATGATGATGATCATGACGACGACGACGATGATGATGACGATGATGATAATTATGGTGCTGACACCATAACGATGATGATGACGATGATGTTCCTGGGAGGTTTTCTACCTCTATGAAGAAATCCCACAGCTCAGTAACTGGTGAATTGGCGTATTCTTTAGGTAAGTGACATTTCACTTATCTCTGTCTTTCTCGAAAAGCGACGCAATGACCCAAAAACTTGAAAGGAAGGAGTAGGGGACTGAGTGGAGCTACGCTGATTGTTAATCTTTTGAGTAAACTCGTAGTCTTGAGTTCGCCTCATCCGCTCCTAAGGGTTCTCTACTTTGCCTAAAAATACGATAACTGCAAAGCAAAGAAACGGAACAGAAAACGCATTCTAGAATAAGATTCGATGGGAAAAATCCATGCATTGGATCGATTTTGCTCAATTCCATGGCAAACTAGACGAAATATAATGATTGAAATATGGTATTGATGGGCATCCCGCGTATATGACAAAAGTAAGGCCGCCTTATGCTCTCAAATTTTCCACGAAACTCGCGGCAATAGCGAAATAAAATTGGGGCGTTGGGGAGGGGGGATCATTATTTGAAAATGAAAAAGAAATTATAATGATAATAATAATAATAAATATATCTTTTCCAATCGATTTTTGTGCCAACAGGTCAATGCAGGAAAAGAGTGGAAACCGGAGTGCCCTGATACACCATGAAGACGAACTGAGTGCAGGTGGATGCATACAACACCCGAATCAAGCGAATTTAAAATTTAATTTTAAACGTGGGATAGGCTTTTTTAATAATTCAGTAAGGTACAGCTCAAACGTCGCATTCATGTAAACACGAGTTAATGAAGTTTTAACTTTTGAGTTTGTACTTGGTGAATGGTGTCACCATTTCAATTGAACCTTCACTGCCGCCTCGTTCTCTGATAGTTAAGCCATAATTATGTGAAAGGAAAAAGCTCTTTTACAAATAGCAAGATATTTTCCTGTGCATTTGTTTCAATGTAAAGTAAAGTTTGTCAATTCAGCTTTATACGAGTACAGCTAGCGAAATTCAACGGATGTTATTACATAAATGTACTTGGAACCTCTGAAATCTTCTTAATCAATGCCACTGACGCTAATGACTCACAGCTTGACATGTAACATAACCAACAATAACCTTTTAATGCATGAAGTTTTTCAGAGGTTCTGGGTAAATGTTTTGCGCTGATCTTAATTTGTCTGAAAATCAAATGCAGAGGCTAGGTCTAAAGAGAGTTTTTGACCCCTTTTAGAATCCCCCCGCCCTATTCACATTCTATTAGTCACTATCTGTATTGAAAGGAACGGTACATATCATAGCTTTAAGACCTTTCCGTTGGTTCAATAAACATATGCATTGTATAATGTCTTGCAAGAACACAGAAAAGATCTGTTGCGAGCATTAAGGCGCTTTGCCGTCCTTTGCATATCATTCCTCACGCAAATTAAGAAGGAGATAGTTAATTTTTAATCCGCGCTCACCACTTGATTCGTGGAACATGAGGGGTCAGTCTAGCTTAGCTTATATACGCACTTTTATTCACCTCGAGTTTAATTATTTTCTCATATTTATATACAGTTGCAGGCCTTAAAACCCCAAAGGCTAATACCATAGCACTGGTCGGGGGTACACGGTCCCCGTTTTTCTCCAAATTGGTTTTTCGGGGTTTACGTGTCCGGCTATGGTGAATTCTTATATTTTTGATATATGTATTCTTTATTTATGTATTGTTTATCAATAAAGTATACTTGGGCTTGTTGAAATTAAAAAACGTGTCATTGTTTCTTCTCTTGTACATTTGAAGTGGGTGCACGACTGATAATTTATGCCCGTGTCAACTGGATCAAGTATTAAAATTTATGGTGGGGTGACTATTGGCCGGGGGAAATTGTAACTATTGCAATTGTATTGCTATAGGTCACACTGATCTTGCAATAGTATTGTGATAATGGAGTTTCTATTGCTGTAGTACTGCGATAGTTTTCAGCCTTTCCTTTTTTGTTTGTAACGATACAAATTTGGCCGCCATGTTTGGTGTTTGAACGAAACTCAACAATATAACCCCTCTCTAACATTAGACCCAGAGCCGTTTAAGAATCAAGCCGCTAAAACATTCTACATGTAGGTGTAGTAGGACGATAGATTGTTTTTAGTTTTTTACCGTCATTGATACCTTGAGAATCAAAGATGGGTATCTCTATTTGCCAAAGAAGTTCAAATGTTTAGAAACTATCGAGACTATCGATAGTTCGCTACACTATGGCAATTGGTTATAGATGTTTCATTTTTACTATCGATCCATCGCATTCGCAGCGTTAATATGGCGATTTATACCCTGGTCCCAGAGGTTTTTCTTGATTTTTCTTCGCGAAAGAGATCAAGAGCAAACCGCGAAGCGGCAACAACGAGTCGCGAAAGCGACGAGGAGAGAGAGAAAAACCTCTGGTTACCTTGGCCTCGAATCTCACTTTCATGCTGACGACAGGGTCAGGATCTGACCCTCGGGCGTTGATTGGTTGATAGTTTTTCAAACGCGCAAACCAATTTGATTGGCTCGTTTAATTGTAACTACCGAGGGGACGCTGAGGATTTTCACACCTCATTTTGCTCTCTCTACTAGGGAAGAAAATTGTTTGTATGCTGCACTCGCAATAACATTTGCACGGGACCAAGGCACGTAGAGGCACGCCATGGATGTTGTTCCTGAAAGAATATTCGAAGAAATTTTGACCTCGGTACTTAATGAGCGCTTTCCCGAGTCTCACCGAGCAACAAAAGAAAGCTTTGTTCGCTGCGTTGAGTCGAAAGGATGTGTTCACCATTTTATCAACCGGACATGGAAAGTATATTTTCTGTTTCAATACTGTCATTGCATTAAATAAACTAACTTGTTTAGGGCAGCAAAATAAAAAATCTCCGAATACGGAATAAAAGTTTCCTTGTAGGAAAAAAAAACATACAACTTTGTACAAGTGCGTAATCATTTTCGGTGCAGCTTGATTTTTCTGCGACGCCCAAAAAAGATCTAACTGACGCTATTTTTGGCATAGACCTATTCGGCTAACTCAATGTTGTACCCAATTCAAATCTCCCGGGGATAAGATTCTTTGTGTATTGCATTTGCATTATAATGTGGCATTCACATTTAAATGATATGGAAATTCCTGAAACAAAACGTTTTATTCCCAAAGGGTTTGAATTGGGTACAACATTGAGTTAGCCGAATAGGTCTATTGGGCCAACAAAAACCTCTGAAAGTACATTCCGAACCCTAAGGGTTTGTTGTGCTGCATGACTCTTCCTAGCGTCGTTGTTCCACAAAAAAAGGAAATGGAGCCACCAAACCAAAATGCGAGCCAGATTGCCAGAATACATATTAATATTACTATTTATTACAATGTAATAAGCGCGATTGATAGACTCTTGCAAACTTTACAACTTCCCGCTGGCACACTGCCGACAGAACAGATGACAATGTTTGTGAAAAATCCTTGTTAATATACCCAAATAAATTCTGCAAATCCTGCAGCATTCGTTTAAAACAATGTCGGTTTCTTTATAAAGTGGTCTTCTTATTCCTGGACTCTTGTCGCCCATCGTTAACACATGCTTTAGCTTGACCGCAATTAACCAAATCACTCTTTACCATCCAAGTGAAGATGGTTTGTTCATAACATAATTTCCCCAGGTCTACCCCCACTTAAAAAAATAGCGGCTGATAAGCACGTGTTTGCTAAGTTGCCATTGGTCACTCTTTTTATTAGCAATTTGACGCGTTTGACAGCTGTCGTCTGCATGAAAGTGAGATTCGAGGCCAAGGTAACCAGAGGTTTTTCTCTCTCTCCTCGTCGCTTACGCGACTCGTTGTCGCCGCTTCGCGGCTTGCTGTTGATCTCTTTCGCGAAGAAAAATCAAGAAAAACCTCTGGGACCAGGGTAGGCAATTTATCGATACTTCGATGTATTGTTACAGCCTTAGCTAGTGTGGAAGGGGTTAAAAGGTAGGAAAGGGGGAATTTTCCTCGCGCTGTCGCGCGCCCGAATTCCCCCTTCTCCTTCCCGTTTTAACACCTGCCACAAAGGTGAAGCTCTTGGCGGTGGATAGATTTTGCATACCATCTTGCTCCAGTTGTCACCAAGCTTTGTAACTTTCTAAATATTGGTCGTGCCGCGTGGGAAATTTGATTCAACCAATCAGAAGCACTACCTAGATCTGGGTAGTGACGCGTCATCAGTATTGAATTTCTGCGCTCGTTTCTCAGACGTCATTTGGCGGGGAAACCACTGTTAGCGTCGCCAAATGTCAACATATGTCCAATATACACAAATGTGAGACAAATGTCGGCTGTTTTGTCAGGCTACGATGTGGCTGATTTCTTTATGACGGGGTAAAGTGAACAAATAATATCCCTGCTCCTTTTTTGTTTTAAAATAAAATTGAAAAACTCTTTTGCGCAGTTTTCACCCAAATGACAAAAGCCAATATTTTTGAGACAAGTTTTAAAATATTGCAAATTAGTCACTCTGATATAATCTGTGCTTCGCGCATGCGTTATTTGGTATAGTAATAATTCATATTCAGAGTAAGGTCAATCGCACAGGCAGCAACCTAAGTCGTGGTTCGTGTTGTGTAAAATGTTTCTGTGCATGTTAGAAATGACTTGGTGATAGAATGATATAACAATTATTGAACTCGGTTATCGCAAAATATCGTGATTCCTCAGTGTCTCCCAGATCAATTACTTGCTTCAGCCTTCCGTTTTGGCAAGTAGTTTATCTACTCGCCACTGACAAATCAAAATATTTGCTCAACATCGTCAAATAAAAGTTAATTATTTTCAGTCTGTCCCCTCGGATTTGATAACTTTACAAAATTACACCGAGGCAAAATGACAAATTGAGAATTCAATAATTGTTGTTATTATTATTATTATTATTATTATTATTATTATTATTATTAATGGTAACAGCGAGTGATTAACAAATTCGGACGACCGCGTGGCGGGAGTCCGATTTGTTTAATCACGAGTATGATTACAGACCGAATTGGACGGCACGAAGTTCTGTTACCAATTAATCATAAGTTTAACAAGTGATATAATAGGTTATTTTTTAAATCAAAACACAAGAAATTCGAAATTTTGTTTTGCTAGCAGTGAAAAAAGAAAGCCATTTAAGCGCGCGCGTGATGGCGCGTACTGTCCAATTACTTTAGGAATGACGCGTACTGTCCTATTAAACCGTCCAATTAAGGCTGAAATCAGGGCAGTTGATAGCCAATCAGATTTAACAATTTTGTTATAGTTATGATTATTATTATTATTATAGCAGGTGATTATATGGAAACCACTGCTACCTTTATTCTTAATTTGTTGTCATTCTTAGGCTAAAATATGTGATCGCACACCCGGATACTCATTACTGCCTAGTTTATAATAAACTATTGGATAAGGTTTGTTTTAGAATCAGTGATATCCGGAAAAATCAAAATCGACGCAACACCGAGGCTGAAAACATTGTTTTGAAGAAAATAAGAACAAATTTACACACCGTTACCTCGAACAAGGTTTTGGCCTACGCAACCTATATATAGATCTGTCATAGCCAGTAATCTGCTATCAGATGACTAACAGATATGTAGATTTCTCTGATTTCCAAAATGAAATGTTGGCTCTTAGCCAATGATATGGTGAGTACAATGTATAATAATTGACACTACAATTTAGTCACTCAACCGGTTTGGCGCGGAGAAGCGCGGGCTCATTTCAAGAACAGCGGCTGGTAATCGAACCTAGCAACCGGTTCCAACTTTGAATAACGTAATATTGTCCTATAAGACTAAAAATTAAATGTGCCAACGAAATAGGAATAAATCACAATTTCAATTGAGAATCCTCTTTACTTTACGAATGGTCTTAAAAACAAATAAATGTCGCGGTATTTAGTAAAAATCTACTCGTTGTAATCGCCTCCATCGGAGTCCTTATACTTTCCCTGAGCAATTTTATTTTAGTTAGCGTTATTTCTCATTTCAAGAACAGCGGCTGGTAATCGCCCCTAGTAACCGGTTTTTTATTGAAAAACTGAATAATGAAATATAGCTGCTACCGGACGTTTAATTGCTTTTGTTTGACTTTAAGAGGTGTAGAAAGCTTCATTAGGCCATCAGTTATTTTGATTAATATTTTCAAAACACAGTAGTGAAGCTTCGAGGGTCACAAATAACCAAGATCGATCGGTGAGTTTTATTCCAGTGACTTATTAACAACAAATTGCGCTTTATTTTGCGAGATAGTTTTGCTTCTGATGTGATTAAGAGTTTCTCGACAAGTTATTGCTTACAGGTAATTGCCAAGCCAGTGTAAATTAAAATTTAAAGAGTCAATTTTAAGAGTAGATGTAGATTAACTAGAATTTATCTCAGTTTTTTCTCATAGTCAATGAAAAAAAATTCTTATTTCAATCGGTGTTCATTGGGGAAAAAGGCGAAAAGATAAACTTCAGCAGGTGTAAATTACTGAGGAGTAAGAATACAACATAAATATTTTTTTGTAAAAAATAACCCTGTTTTTTTAGTGTATTAGCTCGTTTCCTTCTTTTTATAAATAATTAAAAAGTGTTTAGCAAATATATCATGTATATTTTGCACCGGAATACGCGATGGCTAAGTTAATTGGACATCATTGTATTTGTCTTTAAGGACTGAATGAATTAAACCAAGTCAAGTACAAGTCGTTTCGGTCGTTTAGAGTCCATAACTTCAATACATTCTTACCTTTTCGATCGGAACCCCTTTAACTTATTGACTTTGAATCAGACGGAATATAAGTGTTCTACAAGACTAAAAATTAAATAATATGTAAACCAAATAGGACTAAATCGCAATTTCAATTGAGAATTCTCTTTACTTTATGTTACGAGTGGTCTTAAAAATAAATAAATTTGTCGCGATATTTTAGTAAAAATCTACTCGTTGTAATCGCCTCCATCGGAGTCCTTGTACAGTTCCCTGATCAATTTTAGCTTAGTTTGCGTTATTTCGCAGATCTTCTTGATGTCCCGAGTCTATCATTTCAAAATAGAGGTGACCATCTGATTTGATTGCAGGACGATCAGATAGAGGCGATTAATCGCCTGATATTGCTGAAGTCTCTATATAGGCTACCGTAAAATTCCGAAAATAATCCCCGGGATTTTTCAAAGGCTCTTTTTGAGGGGCTTATCTACGGAGGGAAATTTGCGTTTCAGACTCGATAGGGCTAGCCTTATAGTTGGACGTAAATTTACCATTTTTTCTTTGTTTTACGTTGTATTTGAGGGCAATTTTCCTAGTAGAAGCCCCTGGGGGTCTTATATTTGGAGGGGCGACTTAACGGAGGGTTTTTTGCGTTACCGGTTTGGGGGGCTTATATTTGGAGGGGCTTATACATGGAGGAGCTTATTTTCGGAATTTTAAGGTAACTTCAATCAATAATAATTCTCAAAGTAAATCAGTGGTGTCGATCGTCTTTATCATCCCCATAAATCGGCATCTCCGTATATTGGTCTGATCTTTTCGTTAATTCATAGTAGGAGTTGGTATTCTTTACGGTGACTCTTAGTAATGGCGAAGTTGATCCATCCTCGAAGACACTGCGAACATTTGAAGGCCGACCTTCTGCTAGTGTGTATAATTCGTTTCCGGTTACGCACTTGAAGTTGGTCTGTCACGGGTGACATTTAAAAAAAAACAGTTTTGGAAGACAGATCGTTTAAAGAAATCTTGTCACTAAATGTTTGTAAATTTATTTATTTATGTATTGTTAAGCGAACAATTTAGTGAAGTTGTGCGCTATCGAAAAAACATTTATTATTATTTAGTGGTGTAATTATTAATTATTATTATTATGTTCAAGTTTCACAGTACGTGTGCGTGTTTGCTGCACTGGATAGGGAAATCCCCTAGGCGGAGTACTGCCAGTTCTCTAAGCTTAGCAGATTAAAACAGTTTTCGTGTGATCTAGGCGTAGGCCAGAAAAGCTGTCTTTTACAAGGTGTGGCTGCGGCACTCGGCTTCAATAGACAGGTCTTTCAGCGCCTTATCGAGGTTGCTCTTTGCACATCCTAGCGATCCAACAATGATTGGAATAATTGTTATCATTATCATTATTATTAATATTATTATTTTTATTATCATTATTATTATTATCATTGTCATCATCATCATCATCATCATCATCATCAACACATACAAGAAGAAACAACTGTTAAGTTTTATTAAACGTGAAAAAACCCACGCATGCATTTTTCCCCATCAGCTGCGCTTTTTCGTTTTTCTTTGGAATTTCAGCTGCTACAGGAAGCATTTTTTGATTGGAGAGGAAAACAAAAACGTTTTTTTTTTGTTTTTATGTAGCATCTGAGTTGGTTTTAAAGGCTACGACAAACGTTTGAAGGTTTAATTGATACGAAACAAAAATGGAACTGTACGGCAGGTTAGAATGGTTGCAAAATTATTCTTATTAGTAAATAGAAGAAAGTCGGAGGTATTAAATTCGAGTGAGAGAAGCCAGACAATTCAAATTCATAAAAGGCTGAGGTAGGAAAAGAAGTTAAAGATTTTGTTTACAATAACAGTTATGTAAAACCTGGGTTTCATTTGACTTTTAGCAAGATTAGCACACTTATGCGCGCGCCGGTTTGTAATGGAACCAGCCGATACAGGTACTCATCATTAAACTGATAGTGCTTCGCGAATACTGAAAAGTAATTTCTTACTTAAGGTTATTTTCCCCTTATAAAGAAATTTAAAATCATTTCAAAGATTTATGGAAATTTAAGCGCCAAATATAACTTAAATTAAACCACTGCATTACTGCAAGATGAATGGACTTAGCGCCTGCAACTGTTATCACCGAGGGATGATTTGTTCACATCTTTTCTTTTTTGCCATGCTGTTTAAAGATATTATTACACACTAGATCCTACTACTGAAAAATTTAAAAAAGAGAGACAGAGAGAAACCTGGCAACGGAAAGCTCAGAAAAATGTTGAAGCTCTAGGTGAGATTCGAACTCACTACGCTCCGCGTCCTAAACACTAAACACTGAGCTACTGAAAGGTCTTTATAACAAACCAAGTCAAAATCGAATTAAAATGCTAGCTAAATTGCGAGAAGTAGTGAAGTGTACCCTGATATCTAGTTTAGGCGAACACTCCATTTGTATTCATTTTGGGACACATTCACCGAGCAAACAGACACAATAGACGATTGCTTTTCTCAGTAAAATTTTAATTTTTGCCTTTTAACATATGCTCGTAGTTCCCTGATCAAGATATCGCAATAACGTTCCTAAACTATTGGCAGAGTATGGCAATATTAATCTCAGAAAATTCGAGCCCGTATATAGAATAGTTTCGGAGACCGAAATTCTCTTTAAAAACGGTTCACAATTTTGTACTTTTTTTGTCACTCAGCAATTTTGCAGCTTTTATTGGCAAAATATTTCCTAAGATATTTCTTGAATAGACCTGAAAATTGTACAAATTGATCTGGTTCAGGACTACTGGACAGTTCAACTTTTGAACTAGCGAATTTGTATAGTATAAGGACGCCTCTGCATGTGGGTTAATTCGTGTGCTAATGAAACAAAATGTAAGGAAATTTAAGCAACACTTATCATTTTCCCCTCTCGACATTTCCATACTTACCTGCGTCTCTCTCAGTTATGTAAGTTGGATACTGTAAGTTATATAAGTTGAAATTGTAATTTCCGCTCGCTATGTCAAGTGAACCGGATGAGGTATAGTTCGTCTTTATTCGCGCCTTTTTATGTTTCGTATTGTGCCACATTATACCGGATGGCAAGAGAAACAAAACCAATGGCAAGGGACACAAAATGTAATACAAAAATACAAAACGTGACCGATACCCAAACGTGAGAGACCACATGCGATTAACGTAAAGGGAAACACCTGATTTTGCTCTTTGGTCTTCTCCTTACTGGCTGAGCTTAAAAGTGACGTAACATTTTTCGGCCAATAGTATAGATCGTTTTCACATGACGTCACGGCGGCCATATTTGTGTACAAAACAATGAATCGGCGGCCATGTTTGTGTGCAAAAAAATCCTGTGGGAATTGAACTCTTTTCACATGTTAAAACTTTCTTTTATCCCAACCAATTTGCAAAGCTGCTGATCACGTGGCGGAAAACGATGTATACCTTAGATTTAGTAGGTCCATGTTCTTATATGAATGGCGCTTTCCATTCAAAAAAAATTCCGGTGGGAGATTTCGGAAATTCTAAGTGCCCAATGGAACAGTACATTCGAATTCCGGTTGCACAGACCCGGGTCCCAAGCCACCGCACGTTTGGTTATTGTTCTTGTAAGCAGGATACAGAAAAGCGGTGCTGGAGTCAACAATTTTGTCAAATGGAAAGGGAGATTTCGGTCCGACCGACCCGAAATGACAAGACACGGTAAAAAAGGACTACCTTGAAAGCTGGTCCCGAATATTCCGGTCGGACCAAGCCGAAATGGTCTGTTCCATTTGATTGGCACCAACTGAAATTCCCGGAATTTTGGGTTGAATGCAAAGCGAGCAAACACAACGGACAATTTCTGAGGAAATAAGGAATGCGCTGAGTCAGCCAAACCCGCTAACCAGGGTGGCTCACCTCATATGATAAAGCCCGGGCCTAGAAAAGGACGCGAATCTTTCGTCTAAGAAAAGTTTAAAAGGGACTTAACTATAAAACGCTCAAAAATTCTTAAAGTACCACAACACTAAAAGTTCTTACAGTACACTGGGCTCGGTTACTGATACCGATTATAAAATCCAGGATTAAAAACTTTAGTCTACGGTTGATGATGTATTTATACCTCCCTTTGATTGTTCAGCGTATCACTTTGTGTTATCATAACTGGATCTCAGAGTAAAGGCTCAGCAACATTCTATAAGCTCTATAGAGCGATTTTACTTGACCTGTTAAACAGTTTATAACAACTAGTACAAAATAGCTACAAATAAACTAAAGAAGGCAATAGAATTGGTGTGAAATTTGAATTCAGATTTGAAAGCGTAAAAAGCAAATTCAGTTTAATTTATTGTGTCTACAATTTGATCATTGGGTCACTAAAAGAAAAATAACCCTAGCTTGAATTTTAACCTTGGGTTAGCGCCAATCAGCCTTCGAACAACTGGGCTCTGTTTGCTAAAATCAGTGTCTTATGATATTCCACTAGCGGGCCCCTTTACGATATTGCTCTGTGGTGCGCACTTCCCAGGTAAACAGATAAAGTTTAGAGGAAGGGGAAGAGACACCCCGGCAAGGAACAACGACGCTTGCAAAAAAACTTGCTATAATAAAGGATAAACTAGAAATAAGTGTATCGTAGAACCCCGTGAAGCTTTGAAAAAGGATGGCCCGTTTAATGACAGGGATGGGAGGATGAAGAAAAATGAAGAAAATTGGGTAACCTTGTTAGGGTGGATTTCACTACAGCTTACTTTCGGCTCTAAAATTGGAAGCTCAGACATACAAACTCAATCTCCCTTTGGTTGGAGGAAATTCGAACCCAGTCTTCTGGCTTTAAGAAGAAAGGGCTAAAGCCCCTATATGATTGCTCTGTGGCACTTCCCAGGTACACAGATGAGGTTCCGCAGAATTGCACCTTTGCAAGGAAAGGCACCCAAAAAGAAAAAAGCAATAAACGGATAAGTTAATCGTTTAAAAGCCATTTTAAGAAGCGCTGTTTGCGAATGATAGGAAAAAATTATCAATTCTAGATCTCAGCATGGCAGACGGCAAGGTTTCTAGCCAGAATAAAACAAAATTAACACAAAAGAAAACAATACTAAACAACAACAAAAACAACAATAAAAGCAACCCTAGAACGTTCTAGAATGTCCCGGAATCCTTGGTAAGATCTCGTTCAAGCCAACAAAATAACTGTTAGATGCTACTCATTTTTTGTTGCAGAAAAATCATTACAGGACAGCCAGCGCTAATTACCTTGAGGAAGAGATATTAGGGTAAAGAGATCTATAGGGTGCTCCTTTGCAGGACATTACAGTAACTAAAAAATTCATATTAGTTTTAAAAGATAGAGTAATCACCAAATGTTTTTTTTTAAATGGAAAACGATGGATGAAACTTACCGTCTAAAATCTATTATAATATTTTTCTTGCAAATTTGTTTTCGATTTTTTATACTACGGTCGGCTCTTATTTTCTCCAGTTCTGAATTGGAGCGAGAAACACGAAGCAAGTGAAAAACGACGCTAGATGAAGGCTATGTTCATATCATATGGGATAGCTATTGCGTGGGCACGAAAACCATACCAGATAGGGTTTCTGTTCGCAGAAAACAACAGTTGTTTCGGCGCGATTACTGTAACGGAGCGAAGCTCCACCGCGCCAATCTCCAAAGTGGTGGGTTGCGTATCGGATTGGTGTTCATACTATCCCGCGGAAAGCTGTTCTTGTCGGCAAGAAAAGTTATTCGGCGAACATAGCCTAGGTCCACTGCTTTTTTTAAACTTTACCACTATAATAGTACATTAAACAGCATTAAAAAAAGTAATTTATTGACCCCGGCTTCCAGAATAGAAGCCACGACCTTCCGCTGTTCAGGAAGCGTCGCTCCACTTACTTTGAGCCGCTGGAAACCTGCCAAGCTCGGTTAAGCATTATTAGGGCCTTAGGCGCCGCTTTTTCAGAGAGCGTTGGATTCTAAGAGGACGACGACTAAGAGTACGAGATTTTCTCAATACTAAGTAGTGCGTGCGCGTAAACCAGCGACATTTTGGCGGGAAATGTGATAGCCTTTGCCATTTCACTACGAGTTTTAGCGAGAATGTCTTGGTGGCGGAAACAAGCTATCAAATGTTAGAGGTTTTATCATTTTTCCACCGGGAGAGGGCTTAACCTCCTTGAGATAACGGTGCTAAATTGTCTGGTCAAAAGGAAGTACAATAAAGCCTTCAGCGGTCAATATTTTTTGATAATACAAACGAAAAAACTTTATGTCAAATCTCATCCTTGAAGTCGCGAAAAGCGCATTCGTGGAAAAAAAATAATGGTGATCGCTGAAGGTTGCAGGGGATGGAAATTACATAAGTAAAAGAATCAGAAATATTTTTTTCGGCGAGGAAGCTCGAATTGAAACCGTGCATGGGGACTTATTACTCCGAATTCTCTCCCTGACACTAAGGCTATAAATACAATAAATGAGTGGCAAATGCAAAATCAAGTTGAAATATAAGTTAGAAATAAAAGCGAGCAAAACAAAACAGACAAAAGGCAGCAAAGAAACAAATATTAATATCTACACGTGGAGAATCAGCGAAGGAGAAATGTTTCAATATAGATCTAAAAAGTGAACTAAAGAAATTTGGACCCTGAAATCTTATGCCTTATTCAAGGTCCTTACATCTTATACCTTATTCAAGAACGTTGACTTTATAATGAGAAACGAATATGTTAATGCAATCATCCAAAATCTTTGAAACATCACGATAATCGTTCTTATAAATCAAGAAAAGCAGAGGCCCTAATATAGAACCTTGAGGAACACAGCACTTTATAAGGTGTGTATTGAACTATCTTGAAGTTGTTTCAACTCTCAATGTCTTTTCGATGTACTGTTAACTAACTGAAATCTCCTTCACATCCTTTACCACATAGTCTACACTCGATGTCAGAGACTGAATCATTAACTCAGTGTAGAAAGTGCAGAGGGTCAGCTGAAATGCTACTGGCAAACAAAGATAGCCGGACAATCAACTTGAAAATAGTAACTAACAAATAGTGTGAAATATTGGCGAAAATATATAATTTTTCTTGCACACTTGAAAACAGGAACAACATCTTGTCTCTGTAATAAATTCACCATGAGGAATCAAAAGTTTCCATCAATAGCACTAAATATAAATGGACTGCAAATTAAAACGCGTGATTGAAGTGGTTCCACTTTAAAAGTGAACCGAAAGGAATAGTGCTCTTAAGAATTCTGTCATTCACTGATGTCTTTTTTGTTAATTTCAAGAGCCAAACTCATGTAGAGTTGTTGCTGCAGAGACTTAATGAGAACCATTACAAGCCAAGCCTGAGTTAATGATTTGTTAAAGAGAAGAAGGCTTTAAATTGCACCCCACAGTGGCTTAAAGTGCTGGACTGAGCATTGAGAGATCCACTTTGCGTAAAAGAACTAGTATTTAGCGTTAATGATTTTAATTGAGCGAGGACAGAATTTGAAATCTGTACTCCACTTTTCGAGCGGTATTGAGTTAGAAACAAAAATGAGTATTTTAAAGAGCACTACTATAAATACTGCAGAATTAATGGAATTTATAACAGGATTAAGGTGAAGATCACTTACCGCCGTAATTGATTTTAAAATTACTACCACACCGCCAAAAGAAAATTATGGAGTGTTAACGAATAAAATAAGTTATACAATAATTAAGCAGATAATCCTTGAATCAGTCAGCAAGTACAACTTAGCCTTTTTCTGCCTGTTGACAAAAAAGGTTGAGACTGAGGGAGCTAAAGAGGCAGCTGTTTTTTCAGGGGTGTATTTCCTTGCTCTCAGTAAAGGTGTTGTCAAGAGGTCAGTTGTTTTCTTTTTTTTTCGCACATTTCTTTCTATTGACACTTTTTTCCTACCAAATAGCAAGAAAATTACGATGAGTATTGCGCTTTTAAAATCAGGGTGGTAAGATCCTGTTTTTTCAAAAATACACTAATCACTTATACTTTATGCATTTATAGTAGGCTAGTTAATCTGTAATAGCAGCGATCCAAATTTTCTCTCTTAAAAAAGCACGCATCGATGGCACTTCAAATGACTATTCAGGCTTACAAATAATCCTTAAGTTTAGAGAATAGATTATTTCAGAAAGAGATATATTTTTTCGGAAAAGTTCTACAGGTGGAAGGTTTGTTTGAATGGCATGAAAAGAGATTTCCCGCCGACTAAATTTTCGTTTACGGTTTTTAGCATTTCGTTATTTCCGTTTCGTATTAATAGAATAATGCTAACAAAAATAGATTCTGTCTGAGTCTGACCGGAGACTGATTCAACACAAGGATATATTTCATGTTTTTCTTTAAAAAATAAACCGTCTAATAATTTTGTTTATCAAACTGTGTCAAATTTGACGAAGAAATCTTGGCGTTTTCCGGGAACTAACACTTCCTTGAATTTAAGAAACCGTTGAGGAGCC